GGGCGGATGCGCTGGCTGTGGAGGGGACGGCAACTCCTTTCAGTGGCCCGGGCCCGACCCTGGGCCTTACAAAACAAATGATTCGTAAAGAGGCGGGAGTTTGGCTGAGAAATCAGCATCTCGCTTATTGGAGTGCTCTGCATGGTCTTGGGCAATCCAAGCTCCTTCTTAGGGGCTGGACTGATGGACATGCTAGGGCAGCTGTGGAACTATCAAGGAGTAGGTTAAAAAAGATAGCAGGACTCCTAACGGGGCACTGTTGTCTGAGAAAACACCTCTATAACCTAGGTTTAGAGGAAAGTCCCCTTTGCAGGGGCTGTGGCATGGCTGATGAAACATCGGACCATGTTCTTCTGGAGTGTCAGAAGTGGGCTGTGCTACGCAGGCGAACCTTTGGGGTCCCTGTTATGGCCCCTGGAGACACAAATAGGCATCCATTGAAAAGGACTGAGGCCTTCATCGAGGGACTCGGCTTCATGGATGCATAAGCAGCAGGAATGGCACAATGGGCCCGCTAGAGGCCTCAGTGCCTGAGCCTTGGCTTGAGCTGTCTCGGCCAAGGTTCGCCTGAAGTAGTAGTAGTAGTAGTAGGTGCATTAAATTATGCAGGCATTTTTTTTATTTTTTTTTTCATTTCTATCTTCATGGTGGTGAATTCGTTGGGTTAATTTTTTGTGTTAAAGGGTTTTAATCCCTACAATTCAATGATTTACATTTTTTCAACGGATAGAATTATTTACTAAGAATATTTTGTTTTTGCATTGTCGATAACTTATTATAATTTTATTCTCTTCGAATCAGCTCAATGATTGGACACCAAATTAATAGGTTTGAATTTATACCTACATAATATAGGGTAAATATTTTTATATTTATTTAATCTTATAGTTAGCCCTTATAGGTACTTCCTATACAAACAAAGGATATTGTAGTTAAAACAAATCAATAAAATTCAAAAGATTCTACGCATTTATTATAATTGCAATCAATCGTAAGAGAATAATTTTTAGGATAAAATTGGATAAACAGCAAAATCGTTAGCAATACCGCAGCGATTGTCAGCTCTGGCGAGTTTAAAGTAACCATTTTCTCCAAAGTCAGCGCCCCACGAGTTCTTGATAATCCAGTAGGGTTGTGGGCTTTCGCCGTAACCAACAGCCAATACACCATGGTTAATTCGTCCGTCGCAGTTGCGGTCAATAATACCACCTGCGTAATTCTGCAATTCATCACCAGCGTGAAGAGCTACCGAAATTGGACCCACGGTACCTTAAAGACCAATCATACTGTAAAAATTGTTATTCAACGTTAGCAGATTTTTTATATTTACCAACGGCATTCTTCAAAGCTTCAGTGCTATTATTGACAAGTTTGTAGGATTTAATTTTCAAAACGGTTTTACTGGGTTTGGCACTGCAAGACATGTCATCTGCTACGTATGGGTAGGACGCTTCGGACTCGATTCCGTGTTCAATGACGTATTCTAAAGCGACTTGCATAACACCACCGTCGCAACCTTCATTTATTTCATTTCTAGAGCAATCCACTAATTGTTGTTCACTAAGAGATACCCTTTTGTCATTTTTAATGGCATTCTGTCCTTCCAAACCACCAGTCTGTAAATTAGTAAATAGTCCGGTCAAATTAGAACATAAAATAAGAGTTAAAGTAAAAAAAAATTCAAAAAACTAAAAGTTGGTAAAATTGTTTAAAACATAATTATAAATAAAATTTAAAAAGTCCTTATCGATCCGATCTGTGGAAAAAAAAATTACGCATGTTCAAAGGTTTCAATTGAACTTTTCGCGATTTTTAGAAAAAAGGTAAGTTATGTCTTCAATTAATTCAGTGAAAAATTGCAGATCATGTAATCTATCAAAAATACATTAATACTTTTTTCCTAAGAGTCACCGTTTCTGAAATATAATGATTTTCTAGATTGACCAGACTAAAATACGTAGGTAAATAATGAAAATGTAAAAACAATTTAAATAAACTTTTTTGTAGTAAGTGCTCGGATAATTGATAACGTGTTCAGTTAAAAATATACAAATGTTTCAACACTTACTGTACTGAAAGCCCAGCAGGATCCGCAACCACCCTGATCTTTGACTTCTAATACGGCACCTTTCTTTCTCCAATCGATTTCTTCTGGTTCAGCTTCAAAAGGAACGTGTTGTTCACCTTCGATTTTTGGCATGCTGGACATTTGTTTGTTCATCATGGCTTGGAATTCTTCGCTGGTCATGTCAGAGAATTTGGTGACTCCCATCCAAAAGCCCGACAAACCTGCTTCGTATTTGGCATTGTGTTCTTCGATTTTCTTGAGGGTCTGTTGGAAGATTTCGAAACGAGCTGTCTCTTCGGCGATGTTTTTGTAAGATTTACCGTGTTTGACCTAATAAATAATATTAATAATATAAGCTAAACTATTTGATCTTTAATCTAAAATTTTACCTTAAAGTCGGCCCATTGTTCATGTAGAGACAAGGCGCTAACGGCCAAAATGGTAGCAGCTAAAACGATGAAGGTTTTCATTTTTCTGAAATTCAAAATAAATCCAATTAATAAAAAATTAAATTTTTTTTATACATTTTCAAATTTTTATGTATTTATAATGCAGGTACTTACCTAGAACGTGTTTGGTTATCTGAGGAAATATCCTGCCTTTTATATATTTTTTGTATCTGTTCCTGATGCACTTGACTACCGGCTTGTTAATCTTTCAATTATCATAATACATCTTTGTTGTGATTTACCGTAACCTTTGATATAGGCTTTGATATAGGAAAAAAAAAGTTTTATCGCTAAGTATGTTTAAAACTATTTAATATATTATTTTCATTAAAGTTAACAGAAGTTCTTACCACCTTACCAAACTTGTACTTGTACCAAGCTAGTACTCCATGGTATAGTAGTCCATAACATGAGTCATCAAAAATTCCACCTTTTTGAATGTCTCTCGACTTACATATTATTTTGGCTGCTTATAGGGTCCTTTCGTCATAATGATTTAAATTTTATCAGACTTTTGTAAATATTGTTCCATCTTTAACCCTTACCGATCTAGAACTTGTCTTAATACTTCAACAAATAATTCATAAATTTTTGAGGACTTTCAGCGACGTTGATATTTAATTTTTTAGTTTTTTTTTGGTCCGATTTTCCTTTTTAACAGAGATAACACGGGTTGCTAGTTTTGAAATCAAGGCACTGTATTTTTTAATTTTGAAAGTTTGTTCTAATTTTGTCTATTTAACAATTAATATAATGACAGGATAATTGCAGTTAAAATAATGACAAGATAGTTGTATACATATTAATTTTACAACACATCAGGATAAGAAGCGTCATCGGAAATACCACAGATGTTGTCCCTTCTGGCGAGTCTGAAGAAACCTTCTTCTCCCCAATCTTTACCCCATGAGTTCTTTACAATCCATTAGGGTTGTGGGCTTTCGCCGTAACCAACGGCTAGTACTCCATGGTTTAGTTGTCCATCACATGAGTCATCCAAAATTCCACTTTGGTTATATTGCAGACTATAACCAGCATGAATGGCAACAGAAATCGGTCCAACAGAGCCTTTTTAAATAACGAGAAAATAAATTATAACTTATTAGCTACAAGGGATCTATTGAAAACGTAAATCTGAAGTGGTTGGTGCATTACCGGAGAGATAATTTAATTTATTTAAGTGCATTAAACATACATTTGAATTTAAAAGAAAAAAATGTTGATTAGTTTGAAATCAGATAAATAATAATGAGATTGCTAAAAACTACCCAACTACTTCAAAGATTTCTATCTTTTTTATGCAGTAGGTACTTTTGAAACAATGATGAACAAAGATTTATTTTTCTAAATATTCTAGTTAATTAATTGATATTTTATACATAATACCACCCCGATGTTTTCTTCTCTATCCTCAGCTCCCTTTCAATGAAAAGATATTATCGCGCGGTATTATGTCTGAAATTTTTTTCTAATACCATATTTACCTTACAATTCGCTTATCATTTACTCGTACTAATTAATCAGTTTTAAGTATCAAAATTTTTATTCACCTACTATAATTTCATTCAATCAATGTTCTGGTGATGTATTAATGATGTAGTATACCGATATATTTCATCATTATTTTTTATTGACGCAGGAAGTATAAGCACTACATTTAAGATTAAAAAATGGGAAATACAAAAATAATTATGATAAAACGTTCAGTGTCCTGCCGATATAACGTAAAATTTCTTGCACGATTTCGAATAGAAGGGGTGCTGATAGCTGGATGCGAATAGTCTTAAAAGACTCATCAAAAGTAGTTGCCTATCTAATGTGAAAATTTCATCCCAAATATCCCAATTGGATTAGTAATAAATAAATTATTACATGAGAACAAATTCAAACATATTGGGTCTCTATGGATTGAGTTGACTAGAGGAGAAAAATGCCTAGATATTCGTCAATTTTTTCATTGTACAACCTTAAAATAATTAAAACTGATACTCTCATAGACCTACTAATTATGTACGCGGTGTAGACAAAGAAGTGGTGTGGTCAATCCATAATTTACATTTTTTTAAGGAGCAAAACTATATACTAAGATTAATTTTTTTCGTAATGTCGATAATATGTATGTAGGTATTTTATTGTATTGTATTGAATTGTAAGGTAGATATGGTATTAGAAAAAAATTTCAGACCTAATACCGCGCGATAATATCTTTTAATTGAAAGGGAGCTGAGGATAGAGAAGAAAACATCGGGGTGGTATTTTGTATAAAATATCAATTAATTAACTAGAATATTTAGAAAAATAAATCTTTGTTCATCATTGTTTCAAAAGTACCTACTGCATAAAAAAGATAGAAATCTTTGAAGTAGTTGGGTAGTTTTTAGCAATCTCATTATTATTTATCTGATTTCAGACTAATCAACATTTTTTTCTTTTAAATTCAAATATATGTTTAATGCACTTAAATAAATTAAATTATCTTTCCAGTAATGCACTAACCACTTCAGATTTAAGTTTTCAATAGATTCCTTGACGTTATTTTCTATGTATAAATAGAGGAGTAAATTAGGTTTACTCCAATTGGTGGTTTCTGTTCCTCAGGTAAGCAATATGATTTTAAAAATGTCTACTTTTTAAAACCTAATAAATTTTAGTTAAATCAACATGAAAACTTTAATTGTTTTTGCTGCTGTTATTTTGGCTGCTAGTGCTCTGTCTCTTCACGAGCAGTGGGGTAACTTTAAGGTAATAAAAAATTCAAAATTCACAAGCTGCTTAATTTTTTACACAAATGATATATTATTAGATATTTTTTTAGCGTAGATTATTAGATATTAAATTCTGCTGTAATTTTCAGGTCAAGCATGGAAAAGTTTACAAAAACATTGCCGAAGAGATAGTTCGCTTTGAAATTTTCCAACAAAACTTGAAGACAATCGAAGAACACAATGCCAAATACGAAGCCGGTTTGTCTGGCTTCTGGATGGGAGTGAACAAATTCTCTGACATGACAAGCGATGAATTCCAAGCCATGATGAACAAACAAATTGCCAGCAAACCAAAATTCGAAGGCGAACTACACGTTCAGGAGAATGTTTCCGTTCCATCAGGAGTGGATTGGAGGAAGGAAGGTGCAGTTCTAGAAGTCAAAGATCAGGGTGAATGCGGATCCTGCTGGGCATTCAGTACGGTAAGTGTTAAGTTAATAACGGTTCAGCGAAAAACGCATCAGACATGACAGAATCACATAACAGAACATTTTCAGACCGGAGCTCTTGAAGGTCAAAACGCCATTAAAAATGGAAAAAAAATCAGTTTGAGCGAACAACAATTGTTAGATTGTTCTGGAAGCTACGGCAACGGTGATTGCGACACCGGTGGTAGCATGGAAGCTGCATTCAAATACGTCAAAGACAACGGAATAGAAAGTGAGGAAGACTACCCATACCAAGAAACGCAGTTGAGGTGCAAGGCTTCCAGTGACAAGACCGTTTTGACAATCAGTCAATTCTCGAATGTGGAACCTTCTACAGAATCTTTGAGACAGGCTGTTGGTAAGTATTACATATTTTAAATGCTCTTTGAGTATATAGGTAATATTGAAACAACGAAATTAGGCAACCTTATAAGTTATTATAATGAATTTTTTCGTTATTTAAAAAGGCTCTATTGGACCGATTTCTGTTGCCATTTATGCTGGTTATAGTCTGCAACATTACCAAGGTGGAATTTTGGATGACTCATGTAATGGACAACTAAACCATGGAGTACTAGCCGTTGGTTACGGCGAAAGCCCACAACCCTACTGGATTGTAAAGAACTCATGGGGTCAAGATTGGGGAGAAGAAGGTTTCTTCAGACTCGCCAGAAGGGACAACCTCTGTGGTATTTCCGATGACGCTTCTTATCCTGATGTGTTGTATAATTAATATGTATACAACTATCTTGTCATTATTTTAACTGCAATTATCCTGTCATTATATTAATTGTTAAATAGACAAAATTAGAACAAACTTTCAAAATTAAAAAATACAGTGCTTTGATTTCAAAACTAGCAACCCGTGTTATCTCTGTTAAAAAGGAAAATTGGACCAAAAAAAACTAAAAAATTAAATATCAACATCGCCGAAAGTCGTCAAAAATTTATGAATTTTTTGTTGAAGTATTAGGACAAGTTCTAGAGTGGGAGCTGGATCACGATTTACAAAAATCTGATATAACTCAAATCATTATGACGAAAGGACACTATAAGGAGCCAAAATAATATAAAAGACGAGAGACATCCAAATAAACTTGCTCTTGTTAATATGCATACGTTTATAAATCAAATAGAAACTTTAAACAATTCATCTTTATTCGTTGTTTCACAAGTACTTACAGTTTTTGACTATCTAATTTGCCTATTATTTATCTGATTTTATACTTTTCAAACATTTTTTTTAAAATTCGATTTGTAATGCACTTGAAATAATTTTATCTTTCTGAGAACGCACTGAATACTTCAGATTGAAATTTTCAACAGTTTTTGCGAGGCGATAACTTTATTTTCTATTTAAATAAATAGAACAACTAATTAACTTTTAGTTCAATTGTTGGTTTCTTATTTTTCGGGTAAGCGACCTAATTGTAATATTTCATCGAGCAAATTTTTTGTATTACTCTAAGAAACTTTTATAAGCCTATTAAAATTTTAGTTAAATCAACATGAAAACTATTATTGTTTTTGCTGCTGTTATTTTGGCCGCTGGCGCTCTGTCTCTTCACGAGAAATGGGCAGACTTTAAGGTAATTAAAAATTTAAAAAAACTCAAACTATTTTTATATATTTATATATTTACTGCATTGAGCAGTTTGAGCAACCCGTGTTATCTCCTTTAACAAGGAAAATCGAACCAAAAAAAACTAAAAAATTAAATATCAACGTCGCCGAAAGTCGTCAAAAATGTATGAATTTTTTGTTGAAGTATTAGGACAAGTTCTAGAGTGGGAGCTGGATCACGATTTACAAAAATCTGATATAACTCAAATCATTATGACGAAAGGACACTATAAGGAGCCAAAATAATACAATAGACGAGATACATTTAAAAAAAAAATCACTTGTTAATATACGTTCATAAATCAAATATAGAATCTTTTAAATAATTCAACTTTATTCGTTGCTTCACAAGTACCTCTACTACTTGCAGTTCTTGACAATCTAATTTTCGTATTATTTATTTCATTTTATACTTTTGAAACATTTTTTAGAAACTCGATTTGTAATGTATTTGAAATAATTTTATCTTTTTGAGAATGTACTGACCACTTCAGATTGTAATTTTCAACAGTTTTTATGATACGATAACTTTATTTTCTATGTATGTATGTATATAAATAGAGCAGATAATTAGCTTTTAGTTGAATTGTGGGGTCTTGTTTTTCAGGTAAGCGATCTAATTTTAATATTTCATCGAGCAAATTTTTTGGATTATTCTAATGAACTTTTAAATGCCTATTAAAATTTTAGTTAAATTAACATGAAAACTATCATTGTTTTTGCTGCTGTTATTTTGGCTGCTGGTGCTCTATCTCTTCACGAGCAATGGGCAGACTTTAAGGTAATAAAAAAATTAAAAAACTCATAAACTAGTTAATTTTTTACACATATAATATATTATTACTTTTTTGCGTAGAATATTAGATAGTAAATATAGTTCTAATTTTAAGGTCAAGCATGGCAAAGTTTACAGAAACATTGCCGAAGAGACAGTTCGCTTTGAAATATTCCAACAAAACTTGAGGACTATCGAAGAACACAATGCCAAATACGAAGTGGGTTTGTCTAGCTATTGGATGGGAGTGAACAAATTCTCTGACATGTCAAGCGATGAATTCCAAGCCATGTTGAACAGACAAATTGCCAGCAAACCGAAATTCGAAGGCGAACTCCACGTTCAGGAGAATGTTTCTGTACCAACAGAAATGGATTGGAGGAAGGAAGGTGCAGTTCTAGAAGTCAAAGATCAGGGTATTTGCGGATCCTGCTGGGCTTTCAGTACGGTAAGTGTTTAGTTAATAACGTTTCAGCGTAAAACCCATCAGACATGACGGAATCACATAACAGAACATTTTCAGACCGGAGCTCTTGAAGGCCAAAACGCCATTAAAAATGAAAAAAAAATCAGTTTGAGCGAACAACAACTGTTGGATTGTTCTGGAAGCTACGGCAACGGTGATTGCGACCACGGTGGTACCATGGAAGCTGGATTCAATTACGTCAGAGACAACGGAATAGTGAGTGAAGAAGACTATCCATACCAAGAAAAGCAGTTAGAGTGCAAAGCTTCCAGTGGGAAGACCGTTTTGAAAATCCAAGGGTATAAAAAGGTGCCAAATTACATTGAATCTTTGAGACAGGCTGTTGGTAAGTATGACCTGTTTGAAATGCTCTTTGTGCATGTAAAGTTGAAAAAAAAAACGAAATTAGGCAACCTTGTAAGTTATTATAATTTATTTTTTCGTTACCTAAAAAGGCTCTGTTGGACCGATTTCTGTTGCCATCCATGCTGGAAACCATTTGCAATACTACAAAGGTGGAGTATTTGAAAACCCATGTTACGGTGCAGTGAACCATGGAGTACTAGCCGTTGGTTACGGCGAAGAACCATTACCCTACTGGATTGTCAAGAACTCATGGGGTGAAGATTGGGGAGAAGAAGGTTACTTCCGACTTGCCAGAGTAGGCGACCTTTGTTTTATTACCGATGATGCTACTTATCCTGTGTTATAAAATTAATGTAATTTTATCTTGTCATTCGTTTAAGTACTAAACAGACATAATTTTAATAAATATTTACAATTAGATTTATAATATTTATTGCTTTGAATTCATAATTAGAAACCCTTATTTTATCCTTTAATAAAGGAAATCGATCCTCGTAAAGTATCATACAATTGACCTTGCAGACATAATTAAGAGATATATTGAATGCAGAAATGTAGGTATTTGATAAATATCATCCCGACAAGCACGTTTATGCTGATAAAAAATAGGTAGTTACGTCAATTCAGGGAAATCACAATATACTTAGAAATATTAATTTGATAATAATGATATCAATACAAATTGTCAAGGAAAAGGTTTAGGTATATACAAATAATTAAAACTACAAAAATTATAAATGTATTTTATTTATCCAACTGCAACATTAATATAAGGAGTGTACCAATTTACCTAGGAAAACAAATTTGCTGGACTTACTTGTAAACAAAGGTCTTTAAAAATTTTGATTTTCCTGAATAGTTTTTAAACTAATCGAGCAATAAAAATTGGTATACCAATATTTGTGTCATATTCTGGTGATACAAAGAATATTATAAACATTTTAGAAAGGGCTAAACTACTCCTACATTTCCAGTATTACCTTCTTAATTTTATCATTGATGTTACTGATTACTTTTATTTAGCAACCTTAGAAAAAAGTTATTCTATTCAAATTATTTCATTTTGAAACCATAAATCTGCGGTAACTCTGTAATATACAAAATAATTCTGATACACAATGAGTAGATACACATCTCGAGTAATGACGATAATAAAAAACAAAATGTTGAAAATAAAAATATTGATAGTACTTGAGAAGAACAATAAAACTTTCAAAAGCTTGAAATCGATCACATTTTTTTGATTTTGACATTATCTCTGGTTGTATTAAATTGGTAAGTAAATACCCATATCGTTTGCCATATATTTCAGATTATACTTTGTTGTAAAACGAAGATTTAATTGATAGATTGAGTTACATTGAAGGTGAATATGTGAAATCTACTCAATTGTGTAATTTTGTAATTTAAAATAAATATCAACGAAATAAATACATTATTGGAATTTAAAAGTTATAGGACAGAAAATGCGCCAAAAATGCCGCAAATAAAACATTTTTTGTCATGTTATGACCTAAAATAGGCATGATGATTATAATTAATTTATCTTGTTTGAGATAAAGCATAAATTTAAAATTTTTACAAAAATGTAGATAATTTATAAATTAATTTAGCTACGTATTTATGAGGATCGACAGGTACTTAAATCGTAAATTTGCTTTTTATTCATTTGCAGCAATTGTATATTTCTAATACACACACACACCAACATTTTAAAACCGAAAATTACAGTGACTCCATTATGAAATCACTAATAATTTTTGTTGCCGTTATTTTGGCTGTAAACGCTTTAACTCTCAAAGATCAATGGACCAATTTTAAGGTAAAACAAATTATTACATATTGTACATATTGCATACATATAGCTTCCCATTGTTTAAGTACTTCATTGCTTACAAACATTAAATAACTTCCATTAGTTCAGGATAAAGAAATAAATGATTTTTTCTTAGATCGAACATGGGAAAGTTTACAAGAACTTGGCCGAGGAAAAACTGCGCTTCAACATATTCCAACAAACCTTGAAGAAGATCGAAGAGCACAACAAAAAATACAATGCTGGTTTGTCAACCTACTGGATGGGGATTAATCAATTTTCCGATTTGACCACTGAAGAATTCGCAGCTCGCCAGAAAAAACAAATTGCCAACAAACCGAAAATCGTTGCCGAACTACACGTCCCGACCAATCGTTCTGTACCGAAAGAAATCGACTGGAGAGAAAAAGGAGCCGTTATGGAAGTGAAGGATCAGAAAGACTGCTCTTCTTGCTGGGCTTTTAGCGCCGTAAGTTATAAAAATATATAATCCTTACAGAATCGAATTTCCGAAGCTTCTAGACTGGTGCTCTCGAAGGCCAAATCGCTATAAAAAACAACAAAAGGGTGTCTCTAAGCGAGCAACAACTTATCGATTGCTCTGTGAGTTATGGAAATGAATGGGGCTGCGAGCTCGGAGGCGAGGCGAACTATGCTTTTGACTACGTCCGCGATCATGGAATAGAATCCGAAGAGGATTATCCTTATAAAAATGCCCAGCTAAATTGCAGCGCCAAAGCAGAAAAATCAGTTTTGACCTCTATTAAAGGCTATAAGAATCTTCCCGAGTTTGATGATGAAGCACTAAGAGAAGCTGTAGGTGAGTCAAAGTTAGAGTTAAAAAATCTTGACGCAATTGAGCTGTTAGAGATGAATTCACGTCTTTAATATCTTCTTTTATTGTGTAATTTATTATATTTTAGGTACTGTCGGTCCTATTTCGGTTTCTATTTACTCCGTACCTATACAACATTACGCCGGAGGTATTTTCGATGGTGATTGTGACGATATGCCTGACCATGGAGTACTGGTTGTTGGTTACGGAGAAGGTTCGATACCTTACTGGATCGTGAAGAACTCATGGGGAAAAACTTGGGGAGAAGATGGCTACTTTAGAATGGCTAGAAGGGATGGTTTATGTTGGATTTCATCGGACGCATTGTACCCAGAATTATAGACAACGTATTTATTTTTTATTTTAAATAATTTATAGGTTTTAAACTTAAAATTATGTTTGTAAAAATAGTCTAAGGCTTAATAAAAAAACAAATGTATGAACATTAGTCAGATAAAAGTTAATACCAAATACCTACACGGCAGCATCTTCATCTTAATAATTTTAATTAGTGGATATTTCATCAATCACTTCTACTTGAACCAATATTGTGAACCAGTCCCTGCTGGTGTTAAATTTTTGATATCTCGATAACTTTTAGTACTTTTGGTTGAATACCTATGATATTCTTTTAGAACAACTATACAGGGTTATACTATATTCACCTGTTTTCTCCCATTTTGAAAAATTAATTTTTCATCATTCTTCTGTATAAGGCAATGGGAAGAGGATATATGCTAAACAAAATAAAAGATTCATGTGCTCCTGTTTAATTTATTAAAAAATTAAAAATTGCAAGATTGCATACAATATCTACTGGACACTAATAAGTCATTACTTTATGATTGGATAGAGTACATGTGAAGCAACATAACACAAATTGTTCTCTTTACTATCAATTGGTTGATCAATAGGTACTTAAATCGTAAATTTTCTATTTATCGGTCCTAGTAAAGTGTCATACTCATACAATTACCTTGTAGACGTAATTAAGAGATAATGAATGCAGAAATGTATTAGATAAATATCTTCCCGACAAGCATGTTTATGCTGATAAAAAATGGGTACGTCAACTAAGGGAAATCACAATATACTCTCTATATCTTAAAAAATGTGATTTTATTCAAAATATTTCATTTTGAAACCATAAATCTGCGGTAAATAATTTAACTTGTTGATAAAGCATAAATTTCTAATTTTTATAAAAATGTAGATAATTTAAAAATTAATTTACCTACGTATTTGGGATGATCAATACGTACTTAACAATAATTTTTTATAACTTAAGCTGATATGATTTTTGTAATCAAGATGACAATGCTTTTTGCGTTCCATTCATCATAAAATGATATGTCTTAAGCAAGGATTAATCAAGTCACGTCCCATTTTCTAATTTCTACTTGAACCAATATTTTTAAAAATCCCTGTTGCTGTAAAATTATTGATATCTCCATAACTCTTAGTACTTATGATTGTATACCTATGATATTCTTTTGCGAAAAACTATACATAATTGTATTATTCGGCTAAATAGCCTTTAGAAGTTGAGGCTAGTAAAATTAAAAGTACCGATTTTCAACATATACGATCGTGGTCCAGAGATAATTAGAAAGTACCCAATTATTTTTCATGACAATACTTTTTTTCATCTAAAACTTAAAATAAAACACTAACTTATTTTTATACGATTTTATTGATATTTACAACTGTTAATGCTTAAAAATACTTCTGCAGAGGCTCCCCCAAAATTTTCTCCATCTCCTGTATGGCCTTCTGGCAGGCCTTTTCGATTTCCTCCTCGTCGTCCTCGAGCAGCTCGGCCAGGAACGGGATGGTTTCCGGCAGCAGCGGCAGGAAGTCCTCGCCCAATTTCGTCACGAATTCGGTGAGGTAGTGCAACGTGGCCAGGCGAATGCCCGGCGAGTCGTGCCTCATTTTCAGCAGAATCTGGTAGTTCACCTGCTTCCACAGCGCATCGTCGGACGTGGCCACCGAGAAGTGTATCAAACAGGGCACCACGAGCGATCGATTGCGCCTCATCAGCTCCTCCTCGCCGCCCAAAACGTTTTCGATCTGGTCCACCAGAGGCTGCATGAGAACGTCGAATCTGTCCCTGTTGACGAACTTCTGACTGTCGTGCAGAAACACGGCGTCTAAAGTAGCCAAGACTTTCTCCAACAGTAAGATATTCTTGGAATCGTCGTCGTAGTACAATTCCTCGTTTTTCACCCTATTACAAGCGTTCAGAATGTCCGCGGCGTTGTTGATAAAGTGCCCGGCGAACAGCACAAACAATCCTCTTAGCGACTGCGCGATTTTGCTGGAGAGATTATAAAACGTTATAATCCGATCGCACTTGTCGCTGCTTCTTACAGCCCAATCGTAGATCTTGTAGTATATGGGCCGGAAGGAGTTTTCGGACAGCTTGAGTATTAATACTGTAAACGCCTGCACTATGTGGTCTTCCACTAAATTGGCCTCGTCCAACGAGCATTCGTTGTCGGCGCGGAACTTGAGCATTTCGAGGAACAAATTCGTCAAATCGTTGATGTTGGAGTTTATATCAGCGTTCGGGACGCTCGAAATACTCTCCGATAGGATGCTCATTAAAGAACAACAAGCGTTGTAGCAATTTTTCCGCACTAGATTGTTGTAGCACTGTTCCACGGCCGGTAGAAGGGTTCTTAACGGTATCGATGAACCGATTTTCTGTTTTATGCTGCTCAGTTTCGATAGGAACGGTTGTACCTGGAAAAATTACACGAATTTATTCAAAATGCAATGCGAGTAATAGAAATGTTGACTCACTTCTTGTCCTTCTTTGTTCGTCGACCACATCGACATCAGCAACGACAATTCCTTCAGCAACTTCTCCAAATAGGGACTCAGAAACAACGGTAGACTATCCAGAATCTTCTCCACGGCGGTAACGAGACTTCTGATCAGAACGCTGGAGGTATCCCCGTGTTTCTGTTTCTTCAGAATCCCAATGAGCACCGGCATGAAATCGGGCAGGCAGGAAATGGCGTGGCCTTTGAGATTCACGCACAATTCCGCCAAACACAACACCATGGAAGCCAGCACGTTGTTATGAACTCTATCGGTTTTCAAAATCCCCGTAACGAACTCCAAAATCGGCACGAATTTTTCCGGTTCCTGCGCGGCCAGCGCCTTGACCAGCAATTTCAGCGACAGCAGAGCGGTTTGCACGATGGTCTCCCGCTCGGAGTCGATGTCCTCTTCCACGCTCTCCACTATCGACACGACGGGCGGTATCAGCGAGAACAATTCGCCGTCGCCGCAGTCCTCGAAGAACCGCTGGTTGTACTGCAACTTGTTGTTCAACAGCTCCAATATCCGCCTTCGGACCGTGTTCAATTTGTGCACCATCAAGCCTTTGGTCACCAGCAGGAACATCTGGGAGGTTATCAAGGCGTTGACGCCGTCCAGGACGTCGTAGCTCAAATGCAACATGACCTTCCAGTACTGGGCCTGCGGCGTGTTGGCGCTCCTCTCGGCTACCTTGGATATTCTCTGGATGTACTGGAGGACGTTCACGATGAGGTCTTTGAAGAGCGGCTCCAACGCGAGCTCGTCCTCCTCTTTCAAAGCGGCTATGGTGTTTACGAAGTCCGGCGAGCTCAGCAAATTAGCGATGAATTTGATGAGGACGTATTTGTAGTGGCGCAGTTCTTTCGGGGTGCGTATCGCGATGTCGTACAAGTTGGTTTCTAATTCTGGAAACATAGCTGTATTAAATATTCTACTAGTTTTCTACTCGATTGAAACTTACTGTTGGTATCGAAATTCCCTTCTTTCTCGTCGGGTAGCTCGTACAAATACTTCAGTAATTTGATGCAGTTGTAGAGGACGATGTCGGGGGTGAATTCCTTGCACAAACTCGCGGCTACGTCGAGTTTCTTCTGGGCGCCTTCTTTCCTCTGCTGGTTAACGTTGGCGTGCGTTACGTTGGTTTCGAACACCAGAAGCAGGAATACGCTGAGGTTTTCTTTGACGTCGATTCGCTCTAAGAGCTGCTTGAACAGCGGCATTCGCCTGTGATCGGGTACATCGAGCATGGCGTCGACGAACACCCTCAGAACACTGACCACGTTTTTGATTTGCGCCTCTAAAACGATGCTATTACACTCTTATTCAAAGGGAAAATTCGTTGGCTTACCGTCTTTGCTTTCGTTGACGATAATGGGAATGATGGTGTCGATGATTTTGCAGATAATCTGGAAACTGTAGGCGTCGTCGTGCCTCAAAACCGACGATCCCATGAACGTGAAAATGGCCATCATGTGGTGCAAAACTTGAGTGGGAACCAAATTAGCCGTGTGGGTTAGCACCAACAGAGCGTGGTGATGCGTTTGGGGATTCTGAGACGCTCTAAAACACCCAATAAATTACATATAAAATTCGAACTAAGATTAAGAATATGCACCTTATGCATTGCACAATCAGTTCGACGTTGAAAACGTGCTCCGGTAACTTCTTGTCGCTTTTGGTGAAGCAATGCAGAATAAGAGACAGTAGTAATTGTTTGGTGTATTCCACCGCAGATTGCTCGTCGAAATCCAAGCAACGTTTCAACACATCGAACAGAACAGGTATCAGAAGCTCCGGGTTTCTAATTTTCTTCTTATCTTGAATAAACTCCAGTACAGACACACCTAAAAAAATTATCTATCGAAACGTTCAATCTATCTACAATGATCAGGTACCTTTTTTCCACTCCAACGTGTCGAGTATATCCACCGTAGGCACCATACCGATCCGCCTCTTCTTCTTGTTAGGATCGATTTTGGGGCTCATGACGTCCCGCATGGCGACCAAACCCACCATAATCCACTCGGAGTCCAAATCTACGTGTTTGAATATCTTTGCAGCGGCCAGAAGGATTTCGGGGTGTTGCGTGGTGGTGGATTTCTCAACGATCAAGTCCAAACATCTCTTGATCACCTCGGAATCGGTCAGAGAGCTCAGCAAGTCCCTGTCGAATTTTTGCAGCATCACCAAACTGAGGGGCAGTTTGTAGTCAGCGTCGTTGTAAATGATGGTTTTGTCGTTGTTGATGCAAGTTTCGATAAACCGCCATGCGTGGGAGGCGAAATTTAATTTATCTATTACCCTAGAATCGATTTTATCAGCTACGCTGGTCAAAATTCGGGCGTTGAACGATTTTACTTCTAACAGATTGTCTTCTAGTATCTTCAAAGCTAATTTTGATAGCTCCTCTAGTATCTCTATGGAGTTCGTTGAGGCTAGTACATTTAAGAGAGCAAGTTTGAGATAAATAGGACTCTCCGGGCCACAACATACTGCTAGAAGTTGATTTCTTATTAGGTTTAATTCGTTTTTATTCTTGTTGATGTTGCTCGGATCAATAGTATTAGCAACTACAAACGCGACTTGCTGGTGATCTAAAAGTATCTCTTCTTTATTCTTAATCAAAGCGATTAGTAAGGGATAGTATGAGCTTTTCATAGACGATGCCTCGGTTAAATGTGAGATCATTTCTATTACCATTTGACGAATGACTTCGTTGTTTTCTTTTAACAATACAACCAGATACACTGGCGTCAATTTTTCTATGGAAATCAGCGCTGCTTTATACATAATCCCAACAATCCCGTCCATTTTACTTTTAACGAAAGTTAGTATTTTAAGCTTGATAGATTCCTCTTCGTAGAGACTTGCGTTCAATAAATACTCGATTTCGTCCTCTTCGTTGTCGAAAAATATCTCTAGAAAACCCTTCAAATACACCGGCTTGTTCTCTAGCATGGTTCTAGTGGCCCAGAGGAAGAATTTATTGGCTGAATTCTGGATGGAGAAATCAGTCGATTTTAGTTCTCCGGTGGGTTTTCGAATCCTGCGAACCAGCTTCACCAAACAATCCAAGAATCCTCCCAATGGAAATTTTCCTTTGCTCGCAATTCCTATATCTTCGATCATCGATTCGTGGGACTCGATTTTCGGAAGGTTTCCATTGTAAAATGAGGGTAGGAAATCCAGAATCGGACCAACTTCGACCCAATCAGAATCTTCGGGTAATATGGAACTTAGAATCAAAAATGAAACGTACTTATAATAATCGTCCCAGGAATTTGTGGACATTCCCTTTAGAATTTCGATAAAACTGCGTACAGTTTCCATGTTTTTATTGTCTGTTAGTGCTTTTAAAATTGAATTTGTGAACATTTCTTCATCGTTTATTCCTTTAAGGCTCTCAATTGTAGATTTAAACAATTCGTGCTCGAGTAAAAACGGCATCTCCAATAATTTCTTCACTTTAACAATATCTTCAGTTGACGATGGAAGGAGTAACGGAAAAATTATCACAAAAACCTCCCAGTCCGTGGAAGGATAAAATGTGAATAATATCGCAGTTAATTCTCTGTGAATCTTCCCCCAACCTTGTTTGTCCCTTTGATATTTCAGCGCGAGTAAAGCTAATTGTTGTTTTAGAGAATCCCTGTCGCCTTTAAAGGTTCTCTTAATCGTTTTTAGCGTCTTCTTAACAACCGCTGCATCATCGCTTTTCAACCTGTCTATGAAATAGGAATTTACAGCTTCTTTTTCATCACTCCTTAAGGATTCGTAATTTTTTAAGACACACTGCAATGCATCGTCTCTTACTAGAGGATTAGGATGGTAGAGTTTATCGAAAAATTCGAATTTTTTCTTGTAAACCTCAGTATTCTCCAGTATGCTCGTTAAGCTTCGCCTGTTCTGAATGGATTTATTATTCGATGAGTTTGATAGGATGTTGTATATTTCTTTGTCGAATGCGTTAGGGTATTGAGTTTCCATTTTCTGGAATATTTCTACCAACCATTTCTTGATATCCTCAGAAACATCCTTGCCTGGTTTGAATTCGTTCAAAATAGACCTGTAATATTTAAATTGATTAATAAAGCATCTACTAAAAACATTTAAACTTACAATAAAACCGGTGCAACAAATTCGTCCTTAAGTTTCAAATTATCCAAGCAAACCTTCAATACATCTCTGGCCAATTTATCATCGTTATTAACTCCTTCGTTTATGAACCCATTGAACAATTTCATCAGAAAAGGATAAATAAAACTTCCCGATCGTTGCAAATCGCTTAATATTTTCGGCAACCATTCCTTCGCAGTTAATTGATTTACAGCTGTTTTTGGAACGCTGTTATACTGATTTTGTGATTGATAAATAACTACCAGTAGCAAGCAAGCTTCGGTTTTCAAACTAATTACTTTCACTTCGGTTATTTTCTCGACAAACTTATCGAGGAGTTTATCCGACAGGGCTGTTTTAGTGACTAATTTGGCTGTTATTACGTAAGTTGCAGCGCAGAAATCCGGTATCGGCGAATTCAAACCACTCAGTATTAACGGCAGCATTTGCGATATTTGGTCCTCGGAAAGCTTATCGCTGTATTCTATAGCTCCGGAAAACACTGTGCAGTAGAAATTAAACGCTACAGTGAGTAGTTGAGGATCCGTGTGAACCTTTAATAGATCTTTAATGAATCTGGAAACGAATTTAAGGAATTCGTTGCTCGAGTAAGAATGATTTAGAAGGTTCAATTTGGGTAAATGACTGCCTGGTATTTGCAGCTGTTTTAAAAAGTAAAAACTGTCCCTTTTGTCCTTAAAGCTCAACAATTGGATTACTCTTACGAAGATGTTTGTATCGTGATAGGGTAAAGATAACATAAGCAAATCTTCTCGATTGTATTCGTGTATGGAGAATCTATTTATCAACCATTCTAAAGCTTTGTGGGAGCTGTTTAGCAAGAAATACGGAGATAAGAGTAAGAGAAATCTCTTTATATTCTTATTTAATTTCTCGTTAGCTTCTTGGTTATGAATTGATCGTTCGAAATCTTTAGCAGTGACATTAAATAATGTAGTTTCGAACTGTGCGAATATTTCGTTTTTTTGGATTAACTCTTCCAAACCCTCTAAACCGATTTGGTAAAATGTTTCCCTGGATAATTCCGCCGCTTTCTTGGGATCGAAAAGCAAAGACGGCCTTTTCTTATCGCGCTTTATAGCAGAACTCTGAGGAACAGCAAGGCGCTGTAGTTGTTCTGCTAGTGAAGTAGCCATATTTCAATCTACGAATATAATCAATGCAGAAATCAGTGAGAAATGTTTACAACTAATTGCACTTACGTTATTTGCTCTAATTTAATCACAGATAGAATAACAATAAACACATCAACTTTCTACAACATTGAATTATAACCTCAAACAAGCACATGTCAGGTTAAGACTTCTGTTTTTGTCAAGTGGCCTTTATCGTCTGGTTTATCTAGTTAAAGTTGATTTGGACTAAATAGTTGAGGAAGATGTAAACAAAAATTTGGACTTGGTAAAGTACCAACTATGTAAAGATATGTTTTATTTAAATATAAATAGACACTGTAATATGAAATCATAGTAATAAGGGAACTTTAATAAAGTGAGATTTATAATGTCGAGGATAGATCAGTACTCAAAAAATGAAAGAATTAGGGCGTGATTTGTGTGAAATAAAAATATGTTTTATTGATGTGATTAAACTTTAATTTACTAATTAAATTACGGAGATAAATTATAATTGTGGATTGTATAAACACATTTTATTAACACGTACATGACACTAATCACGATTTACTTATGGGATTTCAACAAAATGTTACTTCATAAAAGAACATAGCCGTCACCTTCGTAATGAGACCTGCAATTTACAATATAATTATCATTGGATTCCTGGACATGATTTCCTTTCGCTATTCATTCTATGGATATAAGAAAGCAAAATAAAGAATCTTTAAGAATGCTAATTTATAATACACAGAAATTGCCTAAGTCACAATTAGATGCGTTAGCATTGAAAATAAATTACCTAATTTTGTTTGATAATAAAGTGTGTATAATTTATAAGTATCTCAGAAATGTGATAAATCTAGTTTGTAGCACATTGAACTCTCTGCCCTTGTCCGTGCATCTCATCATCCTCATCATAGGCATTCTTATGAGATCTCCTTCTAGCTTCATTTTCCGGATCAAAGTCTACCAAAACAACCTCCTCCGCAGTGTCAGGTATCATCGATTCTTCTCTAGGCGGAAGAGCGTTTTCTAAAGCTGGAATTAATTCTGGAGCGATAGTCTTCGGAAATTGGACCCAAAACTGGACAATAAGACGGCCTTTTTCAAAGGGGTTCTTGTACTGCGGCATTCCTGAAAACAACATTCACAGTTACACAAAAAAAAAGTAAATGCAAAGGGAAATACTACCTTCGTTCATGATTGCTTTGTAATCTCCGTGTTTAATCACTTCTCCGGGAAGAGCAGTTATCACAAGTTCTCGTTCATCTAAAGTCCTGATAGATTTCTGAAATCCGCACAACGCTTCGACTAGCTGAATCTCCATGCGCATAAACAAATCGTGAACGTTATATCTCCTAAACACGGAATGTTCTTTCTCGTCAAGCACGATGATAATATCGCCCGGCTCCAAATCGGGTTCCTGATCCCCTTCGCCGTTGAAGATAATCTTCTGCCCATCAGTCATGCCCTTGTCGATGTGCACTTCTAATACTTTACGATCGCGAACCACTTTCTTTCCTTGGCATTGTTTGCAACGGTCCTTGGGGTTGATCCGCTCGCCCTGGCCTCGACAATCGGGGCACACAGTCTGAATTTGCTGAAGCATACCTACGAAAAATATCGAGATATATCTATTTGAAAAGCGTTTTTAATTGTATCAAGTACCTGGTCCAAGTTGTTGAACTTGTATTTGCATTCCCGTTCCTCTGCAGGTGGGGCATTGTTCCACGGCTCCCTTTTTTCCACCGCGCCCTTCGCACTTATCGCAAATGACGTTCTTTTGCAACGCCAACTTCCTGACTGCTCCCTTGTACAATTCCTCCAAGGTAACGGTGAGCTGGTGAACTACATCCTTGCCTCGTCTTTCCCTTCGGCCTCTGCCTCGTCCGCCGAATCCTCCGCTGAAGAACATGTCGAACAAGTCCATGGGGCTGGAGAAGCCTCCGCTGACGCCGCCTTCTTTCAGGGCCTGCTCGCCGCCTTGGTCGTAAATTTTCTTTTTTTCCGGATCCGAGAGGACCTCGTAGGCTTGGGAGATTTGCTTGAACCTCTCGCCTTCATTTGGATTTTTGTCTGGGTGGTATTTTAAGGCTAACTTTCTGTAGGCTTTCTTCAAATCGTCCTGCGAGCAGCCAGGTTTCACGCCTAAAATATCATAAAATTTTGTTTCTTTCACCATTCTTGCGTTAGAACAATGTTAACGTCGGAAATGCTGTTACAGAAACTTCACTTTGATGTCGCTTGCCAAGCTAGTAGCGAGAATGTTCTGAACGTATCTAATAAAGCACTTTAATGTTAAATAGTATTCTGGAATATTCCCTTGAAGTCGAAAAACAACCTCATGGATAGAATCGAAGCAACGAAAAGGACGAATTGTTAAATAAAGTGAGATAAATTACTTCTAGAAATTACTATTGAAACGTCATCGTGTGTCAACTTCACATTTCACATGTTACCATGGTGCGTTCATCAATACAGCCTTTTGCTTTACGATTTATCAGCCACCAATATGATTTTCCCACATCCTAAAACACAGTAGTCACAGAGTGTATAAATAATCAATAAAATATGTAGTTATTTTATAAGTTTATTTGTTTAAAAAAAAAAGAACTTAAAACAATTACTAATTTTCTTCTGATTTTAGTAATTACCCCATTCTAGTTAGCTTTTCAGTCAATTGTGGACAATAAATGACAATGACAGAGATTTTTGACATTTGATCAATATTATCTTTTTATTGTTTTTGTGATTTGTTTAGTGAGTTGGCTAGAACATATTTTCCAAAATTATTAATTAATATGTCTGAAAATAGCGATAAATTTGATATAAAAATAGTGAAAAATAATTTTGAGTCTGCACTTTTGAATGAAGACGATGTCCGTCTTCAAGAATACCTCGATAGTTTCGAGGAACTCAACAAGTATTTTCTTTGTTTATTCATCTGTGGATTTCCTGTGTTTCAGTATCAAACAATGTTTAATGAGCTTGTTTTAGATTTTTTACGTTAATGGGAGTGATTTTCCGTTTTGTCAGTAAAGATTTAAAAGACAAGATGGACCTGCTGAAGGAACTTCTCTCGCATTCCGAAAAAAACTTTACTAGCACGAAAGAAATGATAGAGTATGAAAAAAATAACGATTTATTGAAGAAAAAAGGTTACACCTCTGGGTCACGTACGGTACTTAGGCTACATCGAGGTTTAGGTAATTCCTATTCTTAATTTTTAAATTCTTGTCCAGATCACACTACTTACATTTGTGTTACTTATTTACTAATATTATTTTAGATTTCATGAAATTATTTTTAAAAAAACTTGGAGATTTGAAAGATGATGAGAGCACTTGTGCAAGTTGTAAAGAGGCATATGAACAAACATTAGCAAAACACCATCCGTTTATTATTAGATCAGGGGCATATGTTGCCATGTACTCATTACCTACTAGAGGTGTCCTATTGGCACAGGTAACTTCAATACTTACTAAATAAATATAAAATTTAAATCACAAATTAGTATATTGAAAGAAGGGCCTTGGTTTATACAGTTCTAATTTAATGTAAAACAATAAATGTGGTATTTTTTATTCACATTTATTTTAACGTTATCGTTAAGCTGAATTTATAAGTTTACTTTTCTTATCGCTTTCAATTAGCACATAAATATGTTTGCTTTATTATAGGCTTAGCTGAAAGTTGTGTCAGTAGTTTGTTAGTTATTAATATTGCAGTGAATTGCAATATTTGGAAGTATTTTTCCGAAAACAACGCTGAAGATAAAGGAAAAACTAGTTTTAACGTAATTAATTCTGGTATAATCGATTTTATAATTCTAAGATTATTTTTTCTATTAGGTGTGCGGAGCTCCAGAAAATGTTCAAGAAGCTATTGATTTGTTGCCAGCCACTTTGGATTCCATTTCCGCCGTTTTCGAAAGGATAGAAAATTTATACACCTCGTATGATCTCCATAAATTGCCTTAAAAAGCCATACCAAAAATTTATTGGGCTATAAATTGAATACCAATGATTTATAAATTGTTCTGAATACTTAAAAAAATCTAATATATTGACCTAGTACCTAATTGTATAATATCTTAAGAATAAAAAGTTTTTGAGCTCTTTCGAATTTTTCCCTCAAAAAAACTAATTTTCCCCTTCTTTTTTGAAGATATTGTATTATATCATAGATCGATCCTAATCTATTTTTAGCCTAATGTCGCAGTCGTAGAGAACATAAAAAACCTCCTATATCGAATTAAAAATTCCCTCTTCAAATTCTTGAAGTAGGTAAGAAATATTGTGAGCGAATGCTAGGAATAAATTTAGTAAAGCGCGCAGGTGACGTAACGTCCCAGTATAGAAATTTTGTCATATAGGTTCCTAACGAAAACGTTAAAAGAGAAGCCAATACGAAGGTTAACCGCGTATCTACACATATTTAACCGAACAACATAGAAACAGTATTCTAATTCCAACAACGTGCGCTCCACCGCTTTATAAATACCTTCGATATTTCACCAAGAGCGGCCCGGAGGTTCATGAACAAATCCACATTAAACATTCGGTTTTCAAACGTGCAGTGATATCGTTCGAATTCGAGGAAGTAGTTATCGCGCAAAAACCAATCGAATCCGCGTAGAAAAATGTCCGAAAACAAACCCGACACAGTGCCCGGCATGGGCTTCAAAGATAAGGACAAAGCTTTGGAAACTTTGAGAATCTTGGAAGGAAGAGACGCGGATTACCAAAGGCTTTCTGTTAAAGGTTTGGTGGGTAGAGCAAAAAGGACTTTGACTCGTAAGTTTTTACATGTATTCTATTATTAAAGTTTACTATGCCGGCGCGCAGCGAAGGCGCGAACTTGACCTACTTAAATAAAACAAACACTGCACAGGTGGTACGTGTATAAGTATGATGGTCGGCGGAGCTATCGCTCACCCTGAATTCTCGCTCCTTTTCTATTACACCCACTCCGCTTGTATCGATAGTAAAGAAGAGAGTATTCGGGGCGAGGGATAAGTCCGCCTACCGTCATACTCGCCCTACACTTTTGTATGAATAAATTATTAGCGTCAATATGTTTGCAAGTTTTAATAATTTTCACGCAGTTCATTAAATACAATTATCTTCCATTCACAGATATTTCAGAAGTGTAGATCAATCAAGGGGTCAAATTATTGAATATTGCTTTGTATTAAATTATAGTTTCCAATTTTTCGCAAAAGCCAATTCAAACATACCCATAAAACATGACTTTTAAGAAGAAAATTGAGAATAAATCATAAATAAACTTCTCACATTTTCAGTAACAAAAGACAAAGAGAAACTACAGAACATCAACGATGCCATCAAAGTGTTCGAAGACTTCCTCCGCGACTACGAAATCAACAATTTATCCAAGGAGAACCGAGCCTACCTGCCCGTGGCCTCCATCGAGGCCCTGCTGCCTCTCAAAGCCAAGCACGAGCTGAGCGACGAGCTGCAGGAAGCCTTCTTCAAAGCCTACAAGAAAACGGCCAAGGGGGACTACAAAAGCCTGCGGACGGTGTCCAGCGCGGAGGGCAAGCCCACGTGGGATATCGTCAGAAACGCGGAGCTGAAGAAGCTCTTGAAAGCCATGGAGGAATCTCGCCCGGACCTGTGGGAGGACGACTTGCCCACGAAGGAGCACTTGGAACTCATACTGTGGGCTTACAGTCCCGACGCGAGCAAGATAAAGAAGAACGCGGACGTTTACGCGAAAAAATTGGGTTCGAAAGCGGCGGAAGAAGAAGAAGACGAAGAAGAGGAGGAGGAGGTTGAGGAAAAGAAAACCGACAAAAGTAGCAAAAGGAAGTCTGATGGAGAAAAAGGAGCTGAAGAGTCGCCCGAGAAGAAACGAAAGAGTAACAATTAAGTTTATATATTTATACTTGAGTACTAGTACTGTTGTTTGTACTTGGAGTACTAGTTTCATTCGAATAAATACTGGTACTAATTTGTTTTAATAAACGTTTATATAAACGGAACCTTCAAGATATGAACCTAAATGTAAATAAGAAGCATCTGGATTAAAAAATTCCAGTAAGTATATAATTAAATTAAACCGTTTTCTACACAATAGAAAGAAATATAAAATTAATTCTACTAACTTTCCATTGTATCGTTTCATTGAATTTTCCTTTTTTTAAGCGAGGGTTTTTCAAACACCGGCTTCATTCCAGCGGATTGTTGCGAGTGGAATTTAATGTTCTGAGCATTTTCCATCGTCCAAGGCGAATCGAATTGAGTCGTATCTTGATCGACCAAATGGGTGTATTTGGTTCTGCCGGACCTACCAAAGTTTTTGACTTGCATAACTTTAGGTAAAATGGTTTTATCGAAGTGATCTTCGAGAGTGGCCTGGGCAAAGTCTCGCTTGTACACATCGTCTTCTTTGTCCAAATAGAAGGCTCCTCTGTGGTAGTACTTTTGAAGGAACTTGTACTTTCCTTTAACCGCTTTATTCGTCACAGCCTTGGGCAGCAATCTCAATTGGATTCTCCTTTCTTCCTCTGACATTGTCCTCAGTTTTTCTATATCTAGTTTTTCTTTTTCTAAAGCCTCTCGTTCTTCTCGATCTCTTTTAATTCGTTTTAATTCTCTCAACTTCCACGCTTCGTATTCAACTTCGTCATTTTCATCGTCAGTGCAAACGTCATTAATATGCGGTTCGTTAATAGTTTTGTCTTTGTTTTGTTCTTTACGTATCGAATCTTCTACCATTTTCAGTGTTTGTCTTCTACGTTCTTCGGCTTGGTGTTGCAAATCTTCTTCCATTTTTTTCTGTTTCAAAACCTCCTTTTCTTTTTCTATTATAGTCACTCGTTCTTTTTTTCTAACGAAAACCGGTTTCAACCTAGGGCCTGAAAAATGTGCACTATAAGAAAACAATTACGAATATAGTAAAATTTCTAAGTACCTGTTTCTTCTTCAGATTCGGAATATTCTTCGTACTCGGACGATTCTTCGGAAGAAACATCTTTCTCTTCTTCTTTTAACATGAATTCTTCTTCCTGCTTAGTTAATACCTTCTGCTTCAACATTTCTCTCTTTCTTTCGATTTCTGTATCGCTAAGTTCAGCTTCCGATTCGTCCTCATCTGGACCAGCTTCGAGCGTATGTTTGTTTTCCGGTAAATGAACCTCTTCCGGTAGTTCTTCATCATCGGAAGACTCCAACATCTCGGGCTGGACAATGTGCCTTTTTCTTTCAGGTCGTACTTCCACATCAGTAGTAGCTATTTTCAATCTCCTCAACCGGGGATCGTTCAAATCATCTTCTTCATCATTGTCATTTCGGCTAGGCTCGGGAGATCCTGGCAAATTTAGGTGATTTCTTCGTTCAATGAAATCATCGTCGCTGCTGTCGCTGTCTGAGTGCGCCTCTTGGGCATAGTCCGGTCGTTTGCCAGATATGTATCGGTGAACTTTTACTTTTTGCATGGAAATTTCACCTAAAAGTAAGTTAATATTAGATACTTAAGTATGAGACCCGTTAGCTAACATACCTTTTTCATTTTTAACTGGAACAGCTCCAGCTGTACTTTGGATGGCGTAAGACGTTTGGGGATACATCGTACAAAGTAAGTATATTTAATTACTAAAGTTTAATCAATTAGTTTTAATTAATATTTTATTTTAACACAATCTATTCAGGTTTGTTTTGGTAAATTTAATTACGTCAAAATTGTCATTAATGTCAGTTGTCAAGTTGAGTAGGTGATTTAACAGGTGGCTGAATAGCCCAGTGATAGGTGATTGAGTCAGAGGTGTAGAAGAAATTTTTGTGTCGATAGTCAATTTGTGCTAGTGTTTGTTTTTGGTTCTCTTTTTGTAGTTTTCGTTACAATTTAATTAAAATCAGTTAATTACATTACATTGTAATACTGTTAGCGAAGAGAAAAATTGCTACAATATAATCAAACGTTAATTTGTACTTGCAGGAGAGCAAATAGTTTCAAAAATGGGAACTAATATTGATGCAATAATATTAGCAGAGAAAGAAAATTGGGGACCGGCTCTTGAGGATTTTATAAACCAGGTAAAATTAGTAGTAATATAATGTACAAAGTAAATATATTGATGAGCAAGTGAATATCTAGTTTGCTCTTAAAAATAGATTTCGACCAAAATACCTGTTACAGTAAACAAATTAAATCTGTTTATTTTAGTATTTAGAAACATTTACATTGCCCGAACTAAATGAAGGAACAAGAAGGAAAGATGTTTGGAATGCACTTTATAACATTGCCAAATTGTCTGAGGATCAAAAAATTATCAAGAATGCCTTTATAGCTGTAAGGATTCTCAGGTTGGTTGTTTATACTATTTTAAATATATTTTTCATTTTAATACTATTATCCTTTAAGTCGTGAAAAGGATCATCTAGCAGAACTTATAAATGACGATTGGATAGATTTAATGATGAAGCTTTCTGGTCTTAATGACGATAGTTTTCAATTCGATACCGATAATATGAACGTTCGTGTGGAAATATTGAGGTGTTTATCGAATATATTATTCAATTCAGAGCAGATGGCTATAAATTCTGTAAATAACGGAATCTTAGATGGTCTTGTAAAAAGTATAAATCATTTCAGGTTCGTATAAGTTTGGTTTATAGTAAGTGTAGTTTAACTATTGTTGTTTATTTTAGTAACGAGACCATTTTGTACGAAATTAAATTGTTGGAAATTAAATTGGTGTTTTTGATAACAGCTTTACGTCGAGACGCTCGCGAGAAAGTATTTCATTTAATGGCTACTTTGATACAAATTTTAGAGGATATTTTGAAAGAAGCAGCAGATGTTATAAACCTAAACAACGAGCAAAGTCATATACCGCCGTTATTTTTAACAGTAAGAAAAATATTTCACAAATTATTTTATGTATGTATTTATAAAACGATTACTTTCAGGACAATCAGGCTGAGCTGGCATGTGAAGTGTTGAAAGTTCTTTTTAATATTACCATCAACGTAAACACAAGTGTAGATCCAGAGGTTCTGGCTAATTGTTACACACTCGTAAAAACATTACGAAGCTACCTAATAATATCGTCATTAATCAAGGAAAAGACCAACAATTTACGTAAAGATGTAATCCACCTTCTCGTCAACATGCCAGACGAGACGTACAAAGAGCTTATTCCCTCTTCAAAAGATAACCGAAATAAAATCACTTTAGAATTCGAAGGACATAATATGACTGTTGTGTACGAAATCCTTATGTTTTTGGATACCAAATTGAGAGACAATCTAGTATGTTACCTCCTTACCTCACTAACTTGAATTTTATATATTTTTTTTGTAGAATATCGATAGACAACACGATTCATTATGCCCTGTTATAACAGTTTTACTCAAAGGCTCGTCTAGTAACAGACTTATCAGGAAATTTTTGCGCAATCAAATTCTACCACCTCTAACAGACGTTCATTCGAGACCCGAGGAAGGAGACACCCTGAGAAATCACTTGTGTCGTCTACTTACATCACCACTAATTCACCTAAGAAATGTAGTGGGAAAATTCTTGTTTGTACTGTGCAAAAAGAATGGTAGTATTCAAATAATAATTCTATTACTATTGCTATTACTACAATCTTTTTAGCTTCACGTATGATCAAGTATACAGGCTACGGTAACGCTGCCGGGTTCTTCGCACAGGAGGGTTTATTGGTCAAAGGTCAAGTGCAAGATGGGGATGAATCTAGCAGTGATGATAGCGAAACTGAAGAATACGCAGAACACAAACACGGAATTGACCCGGTTAAGGGATGTTACGAGGAATTGCAACGGAAGAGTGCATTGGAAAACATGACGGATGAACAAGTTAGTTGTATGAGATTTTTCAATCATTTTTACTTAAAAAAATGTATTTGTAGAAAGAGTATGAGGCCATGAAGCTGGCTGAGTTGATGAATAACATGTTAGAAACTGGTATAATTAAACCGTGCACTCTTGGTGAAGATGGTAAACCTAAACCCATAGAACACGTTCTTCAATTGCAAGAGGGTTTGAAGAATCAAATGCTAAATAAAAATGAAAATGACGATAGCGATTAGGATTTTAAGATTAGCTCATTTTTGAGTATTTTATTGTTGTTAAGTGTAAATATAATTATGTACAAACACAGGTAAAAGATGCATTTAGAAACATATTTATTTATTTATTAGTGTATTGCAATATTTACTGATTTTTATATTTATTTCGTGTCTATGCATATTCTTATTATTAAATAAAATTATTAGATAAATCGCTTTGATTTGTTGCTAGTTTAATCACAGGTAAACCAGTAATGGCTTGATTTATTATATCTATTAATCCAGTTGGCAGGTATAACGCCGAGCCAATTAATATTTCATGAATTGTGGTTTATTATAGGAAAATTTTTTCTCACTTATTACTCATGAGGTTAAAAGTGCAAATACATTTACTCTAATTAAATTATCTCACTCATGTGGTTAAGAAGTTTAAAAATACATTTAGTCATATTTCGATACTTTGACAGGTGTCATATTTTGCAAAACTGAAACTGGTTGTAACATATCTCACAAAACGACAAATATTTATTGTCTTCTTTTCTATCTCCTACAGTTTCCGATATCCCTATGCTTTAACATCGAAAAAAAACTCATCCTGTATAATTCTGATACTCCGTAATTCTCGATAAATTAAATTACACACCTGCTATTCCATAGATAATACAGGGTGTCCCAATGAAGAGTAGCCCCTTTAGTGAGCTAATACTTTTTAAACGCCTAATCATATAAAACATGCAGTTGGGACACCCTGCGTAATACTAGTAAAATCTTTTCGTTTGCTTGAAATTAAGAATATTTACGTTTAAATAAATACTGGCACTTCCACAATTTTCGGTAAATTGAATTAAATACAATGCCAGTAAAAAATTTCTTTTGTTTAATGAAGGGTCAATTATCAAAATCTTGCTTTGTAATAAATATTTTGTATAAAATAAATTTGGGTAGACTGTCATACTAAACCAGATGCGGTAGAGTAGACCGCATTCTAGACCGAAATTATAGTAAAAGTTGAGCTTTAAAAACATTTTTTGGTACTATCCAGTATAAAAAACAACTGCAAAACCCTTTTTCATGGATAAAATTAAACTTCTGATCAAATCTTAATAATTTAATTGCCCTCTTTTCCATTTTTCACATCTGCATTTCAAAATCTGCAATATCTCCAAATTTGCGCACTTTGGAATCCATCGAACACATAATCACGTTCAAAACGAACGTTCGGCCGGATTTCCATTGGAATTAACCGAGAGTGTTTCGTTCGATTTGACGCATTCGAATGCTTGCGCCTCGCCGTTTGGAAAAGCCAATATAAACCCCCGTGTGTGCCGCCCGTCCTCGTCCTTAGTCTAGTCTACTGGCGTCGGCCGTCCGGGATCGAAAACATCGGCGTCGCGGCGTCGTCGGTGGTTGCACCCGCGCAGCCCCCGGCCTCGTTGATGAGCCCGCGTTGGGGCCATGGGGCAGGCCGAGAGCAGAGGCGATGAGGAAGATCCGGAAAAATTCGGCTGCGACTCCAGGAGGGAATCCGATATTTTGGTGAGAGAACCCGTGAATTATTTATTATTCGCGAATTTCGAGCACGCTTATCGAATAACCTCTAGTCCTGAATCGAATTTTGCCATTTTTGCGAAGGCAATCTGCTCGATGTGTTTATAATTTGTTTGTCGAAATGTATGGTACGTTGTTTCTAAATTTAGATTCGGGTTTCGTATCGATTTGGTGCTACATGAAATTATTAAAAATTGCGAAAATTACAATCGATTTGTTTCCAAGTTTATTCGAAATTTGTAGGTAGCGGACCTGCCTAGTAATTTTGTCATTATGAAATAGGGGAATTCTTTTATTTCAAAAAATTTAATATAGGAAAAGTTTTGCTTCGGTAGGTCGATAATTTTCCCCTAATAGAATTTAAAATTAGTTTCACTTCAATAGGTACATGCTAATTGGTATATTATATTAACAATAATTTGTCCTTGACTGTGAATTAAATAATGTACTTTATGAGAAATAAAGAATGGAAAGGAATAAAGAATTTATGAGAAATATTGAAATTTTTTCAATAGAGCTGTTTATGACTGAAAATTTGTTAATATAAGATAAATACAAAAAAGGACAATAGAAGAATAATTTTTATTCAACTAGATTAAAAATGAAAGAAAAACATGAAGCAAAAGATGTAATTTATGATATAAAATAAAGTAGGACGAAATCGATGAGTTGTTTCTGATTTGTTTAATGTTAACAAACACGAGTGAAATATGAAGACAATATAAAATAAGTGTATATTATCATAAAATAACGATTCTTTTGTGTACATTACATAAATTTATAATCAATATTTCCCAGCCAAAAATAATGAAAATATTCTAGATTTATTTTTTTATAGATATGAAGATTCATATTGCGCTACTATTAAAATTATAACAATTTTTTAATTATGATTTTTAATGAATATTCAGATTTTATGTAACTTTATATTCAATTCGAGTACGTAGAAAAATGCAGATTACAATTCTTAATAAACATTTAATCAGTTTATTTAAAGTGAAAATAATGAAAAAAATCATAAAGTATAAGTACTCGAGTGCGGTTTATAGAATTAGTAATAGTGAATGTTAAAAAGGTCACCCACAGGCAGACCAGCAAGGTTACATATGCATATACATATGTGTTTCATCTCCAGACTGGCTTTTGTTATTAGTCATTACATAATATACATAATACCAGAGTATTTCCAATTTCTGAAAACCCATTAAAATGGAATAACTCATGTCAAAATTGTATTAAAAATACTGGAGTTGACATACACTTTAATGCGATTATTTTTCTGATGCTCGAAATGATAAATTTCTAAATGGATTACAATTTACAGTGAATTCTCGAAACAATATTCCAATCTTTCACGATTTCCCAATCATTATGAATCATCCTGTATCGTTCAATAGATAGATTTTTTTGGCACCACATACAGTAACAACAGGTTGCCAATAAATGAACAGACCATTATGGTGATAATGTGTATTATACTCGTACTGCCACAAGTTAACGTAGAAACTTTCCCTTTTACCTTACAGTTCTTCAACCATGTTTTCGTAATTGAAACTAGTAATTATAAAGGGAATGATTTAGGACTCATGAATAAATGGTACAGAGTTATAATGTGAGTGTATAGAGGCACAATAGAGGTATTAAGGTAGGTTTTAGGAGGCTTAGGTGCCAGGTAGAGCACAGTCGAGTATTGAGTTCAAAGGCTCTTAACAGGAGCAACACTTCATCAGCGATTAATCAAACTGATAGTCGAGTAGAATAGACATCACTTTGTTAGACTATAGAGTGTTTGAAATTTGAATACAATATTTCGAAAATTTTCCACCAACTCGCCGTAAATCAACAGGCGTAGGGTTTCAAATTTGACTAGCTATAGATAGCGCAAAAACCACTCGAAATGTAAATCAGTGTCTAATTAAGAGGACGGTTATCTAATCTGCACCGATACCAATAAAAAGAAAAATTCCAACCGCGATTCGAACCGATCGTTCACGGCCCGGAGACAACAAAAGATTATAATATTTATCACAGAATTCCATCATCGTAAAGCGACGTTCCAATTAAATAACCCATCCACACAATCGGAAAATCGTAGAAAACGGGCGGTTGTTTGCCGATCATTCCCCGCTAATATAGCAATAAAAGTCGGGCGACGATTTGATCGAGTTGCGCTCGTGTGTTGGGAGCGCATATAATTTCGCTAGCGGGTGACGTCACCTATCTAATGAATTTATATTTACAACTTCAAGGAGAACCGAACGCTGAAATTGAACTGAACTGAACGTCGAGCAGTCGGTCGCACGCGTTGAACGCTCCGATCGGAAAATATCGCCCGAAACTCCCAGCAAAAAAGTATTCGATAGTGTCGCGATATGGGTGTAACGAGAGTTCGCGTGGTTCGACGCCCTGCCAAAGGGGCCTAAGAGCACCGGGACGCCCAGTGCGAGTCTGCACCGCCGATCGCGGTCTTGCAGGATTTGGCGAATTAATTCGTATAGTATAGTGCAATTGAATCGAAAACTCGCGACAAAATGAGCTACTCCAACGAGAACAAAACGAACAACAGGAGGATAAATAGGGTAAGGATGGCGCGGAGTTCGTCCTGTTAGATAATATTTTTATTTTTAAACTGCTAATATTCATTGGGAATGAACTAAAGCAGAATAGCGAATTCGCCGTAGACAATAATTATGTGCTAATGAAATTTTGAACGCTCGGTGACTAATTTGAATAGGTGTTGTAACCAAACGCTTGCTCGATTTGTTCGTAATTATGGAAATATAAGATATTTTTTTCGAAAAATCGTTTATGAGAGGCCTTGGAGTTGATTTTGCGGATTTAATCTGAATACTTGTGGCATTCGTTTTGGAGAAAGAAAATCTTGGATTAGACGCGAGCGGTCTTAAAAGGTTTCTGGTGAAACTAATTTTTTCTGAAACTCACGGTTTTGTAATTTCTAAAAAGTGCACACGTAAAAGGAAGCAAAAACGTGCTGTAGAAACTTCCTGTATGCATTTCTTATTTTGCACAACGTGCGCTAAAGAAACAATTAGGTATTTATAGGTCATGTGCATTTAAGATATAAATGCATTTTATTTCTACCTCTCTGTTCTAATTTTATCCAATTTTCATCAATAGGTTTACTGCGCTTGTTCTTTATATTCTCAGCTGTGCGATTTTAATTTTATTAAGAGTTTCCTCAGGTCATCGGCTCGTCTTTTCATCTTCTAAAAGCATCTTGATTAGCCTTTCGTGCGATGTTTAAATCGGTAAAATTGAGTACAACAAATCCACTTGTCAGTAAAACAAGAATACATATGTTAAGTGAAAGTAATCTCCTTTTAATTACAAATTTACAACAATTGGCCTCTGCCATAGCAGTCTCAACGTTTTTATGCGATTTTTAAATTTTTATTTATCAGTACCCGTAGCGCAAGAAATTAAATTGTGTTTGTTTGCTACCTTCTACCTTGACATAATAATGGGTTTCGTAACGAGAAGAGTATATTTAGTTTGCACCTCGTAAAAGATATATTTATATGCAAAATAAGAAGAGATTTGTACGTTTCGAGAGACAATAAAATGTATTGATGAAATATGGATTATAGGAATCTACAAAACTTATCTTTCAACTACTTTTTAATTTTAAAAATTAAGCTATTATTTTTAATTGGTGCATTGTATGGATAAATATCCTAAATTTTTTTATGTTCAAACATTCGAAAATATTTGTTAGAGACCGGTAATTACGTTAAAAAACAAACAAATTAACGAAAAATTATAGATATCTAAATTGTTCGTCTGAACATTCCTGCCATTTACCTGAAATATAATTGAGCGAATTTATTTTATAAAATCGTGTTTATTTAATTCAGTTAAAGCTTATAAAACCATATTACACTTCGAAAATTATTTGCCAAGTTAATTCGAGAACATCACCATCATGCATGGATGGCATTGTAAACAAAAAAATTAAATTGTTTATACTCATGTTCAGCCAGCTAGATTTACGATAGTGATAAACAGACTGTGAAAGTTACTTGGAAATTATTACAAATTGCATTAAACCCCGGTAAAAATTTAAAGCGATTATCGATAGAAGCACGCATTTATGTAAATCGAAATATATTGAATGAATATAATTGAATTATATTTTTTACTCGAGATTGGTACAAAAATAAAATTTAACCAGTACTTTTGATAACTCTAATTACCTAATTATTATATCCAAATTAACGGTGATAAAAATGGTAGATTAGATTTATACTTAGGTAATATACCTGCTAAATTGAGCATAATTTGATATTTTGTGCTTATTTTTAGCCTATACAAATTTTTTAGATAAGTAAAAATATAGTAGAAGGAATTTATAGAGCGCATGTTTTCAAAATCCGTTTCTAGGCAAACTGTACTTATTTGCGATTATCTTCCCTACTACTCTTTATCCTTTGATTTCATTCTGTACCTCATCTACATTATTTCTAAATTCTTGATTAATGGTGACATTTACTCACTTACTCATAACAAACAACCCGATAAATTAATTTTACAATTTTGGTTTCCTTTGCACTGGAATAATTTTGAATTTGTGCGGGTCAATAGACCAATCACATCGCTCTAAATATGACATTTGCCGATTTGACACTTTTGACAGTCCAATAACAATCGCAATTGCCTCGCCTTTAGGCCAACCATAATGTTTATCTTAAAAGTATGGTTATTTTAAGTAAAATTGCTTCCATTTTCAAATGTTCGCCCTTATTTTGTAAGTGTATGTTAAAAAATAAGTTTATTCGAATTCAGAAAAAGATAAAGATAGTAACTTGAGGTAAGTTGCGAAATGTAGAAAATAGAAATTCCTAACCTTCAATCAAATTTTATTTTACCACTTTACTAACAAATTTAACGTTAATATCTGCTCAATTGTTGTAAATAGCTTCAAAAGTTCAAATTAAATAAAAACCTTCTGCTTTAAGCATCATAATATTTAATAATTCGGTTAAGTAAAATTTGTGCAGTGATAAATGACAAATATTGATTTTTTCAATATGATAATTCTTTTCAATTTTGTACCCTGATCAAAACTAATACTGTTAATTATATTTTAAGTTTATAGGAATTTAACAAAAATATTTAGTAAAGTGGATTTTAAAAACATGTTTAGTTTATAACTCGTAATTACCAAAGAGTTTGGTTAATTGTATTCCGTATTTTAGTAATCAATTGTTCAATAATTACCCAAGTTTTCATAGCATAAAGTTTTCTATGTAAATTTGTTATCCAATTATTAGAACTGGACTGTTTGTGATTTTTTGTTATGAGAGAAAATGAAAATATACAATTTATTCAACAATCTCAAGTATCAATATTCACTTCGTAGGAAGAAATATCCGATTAGAAATAGAAATTAAGGATATACTCAGCAGTAAAGGGTTTCTAAATAATGATGCATCATTCAATCATCCAACTAATAAGGGAAAAATACATAGACCTATTAAGTATGGACGCGGCACAATCGTTATTTTGAGGTTATTCAGCGTTCCCAATGATAGAGAGAGAGGTCCGTGAGAGATGGAGCTAGTTTGGGCTAAAAGTAGGCGGGACCAAAAAATATATAAAATATATACAGGGTGTGTGGAAAAAGGCGATTAATTTGTTAAATTATTTATACGCTTAATATTTAAATATTGTTTTTATCTTGGTATCCACTTGGACAGAAGAATGACCTGGAAGAAACATATTTTTTACAAGAGAAAGCAGCTAGGTCTTAAATTGCGAAATCTGTACTGGCTAATAGGTAGGATGTTCCAATTAACAATACAAAATAAGAACTGTATTTGCAAATGCGTGGGAATTTAGGCTCAGCTGAAAAATGCATTTTGCTCGGCAAAAAAATAATAAATCACAATACTCTCCGCTGCACTTCTCAACCCTATTCTACCATAAGCTACCCTCCTCTACCCCAACTACCTTGCATATCTGAAATCGTAAATCACGTGGTCTTTTGCTTTCTTACTATTGGCTAATGCATTGTCCAATCTCTCATTGCCATATGCCCAAACTAGCTGCATCTCTCTCATTCATCGACAACACAACCTCTTTGTCTAAACCGCGTCCATAGTTAATAGGTCTATGGAAAAATAGAATTTTGATGTTTTTGAACCTACTGTTATATTAAAAAATTAACAACTGAAAGTGAATAAACAGGATCTAAATTTTATTCCTAATTTAGTAAATATTTTTGGAAACAATTGTTGACTTTGTAAATATTTTTAAATTCTTTAAATCCCACTGAAAAACTTGTTAGGTTATACGAAGGAATATTCTGTTAACAAGAAACATGCATTCAGTGCATCAATTGTGCACTGCATTAACATACACACAGTCCAGCTCTTTATCTTCTTTTGCAGATAAATAAACATTATAATTATTGAACCCAGTAATTTTATTAGATATTGTCCATGCAATTGTTACAGTAGTGTAGAGTAAAACAAATTTTTACATATATGCAACAAATTTTTATATTCCTGTGTTTTACAGGAGAATTATGTACATATTTCGTTAAATAGACGAAGGCCTGAGGGATAACGAACTAAGTTGACTAATTTAATTAAAATATGATCGATCAAGCTATTACATTACTTAAGTTAAAAGTAAGTATATCTAAATATAAGTATTTTACAGGAACGAAACTTATTTGATTCAGGTACGAAAGATCAATCTTCTACTTTACATTATATGTCTAATATCTTACTGGATAAATTCATTGTAGAAGATTGATCGGTTGAACCTCTTTCGATGCAAATCACATAAAGAATCCATTTCTGATGCTTTACTCATGTTTTCTAGAAGAATATAAACTTATTTTACAATAGATATAAAAACTATTTCTATTTTAATCTTGTATTCAACTAATTATATCTGTTTGTGTATTTCTGTGCCTCTTCTTTGATGCAGGATTACTCCTAAGTATTTGCACTATCGTTTAATTGTCGATAATCCGCGTTGAATGTGACTCAAGCGTTACTTCAATAATAATTTATGCTGTCGTTGCAACTCAGATTTCCATTACTAGTATTAATCCTCTTGCCTTCGTGTTTTTTCAGGTAATTTAATGAACGAGACATTTTAATAAATTGCAAACGTTGAAAATTGAGAATTGTTTATTAAAGGTATAAAAGCTTGTTTGAATCGGGTTATTTCTAGTTTTTTAATCTATGGAAGTTATTTATTGATTTATTATGGAACATATTTTTGTAATGTCGCCAGAGTTTTATACATTTTCCATACCAGGTTTCTCGAACCCACCTAGTTCGATTTTATGTACTACAGATATCAATTCCTTATCGTAAAATAGTGTGTGATAAAAACGTGTTGCAAATTATATTTTGGCTGCTTGTCCTCCACACTGAGACCTCAGTTGGTTAGGAACGTTGCCTGTTTTTTTTATTTAAACAGTTGCGACTTTTTTATCAGGTGCTGGCTCATCAGTTATCATTTCCGTTACTACACGACCCGTTGATAATGATATTATAGTACATTTGCGCTGGTTATATTCGCTAATTAATTGGTGCTAATCCTTCTATTTATTGCGTTAAATTAGTGTTAATTTTTCATTGTTTTTTATTGTTAATTTTTGTTAGCTTTTAATGAATCAGTTCACGAAAGACAAAAGAGATTAAATTTCAAACAACAAACTAATTAATTAAATTCTTTATTAATAACACTTAATTTGCACATACTATCAACTCTACAGTGTAAACAAAGTCGATTTGATATAAATAAATAACCATGCGGATTTGTTAAATAACTTTATTCCAGTAATTGAAAATCGTAATAATATGATACATGTGCATAATTATAACGACGTAAATACACTTTTATTAAAACAGTTACAACTCTACATGTATTAATTGCATTGAGTATGTTTAATTGAGGTTAATTACAAATATTAAATAGGAAACGTTTGTTTAACTCGGCACTCGTTAAAAGGAATGTCTCCGCAATAAATTTCGCGAAAATTTTATTCACGATGTTTTCCGGTTGGCAATAGTCACGTTTTTATTAAGGAAATATGCTTTAAATGGGTATTAAAACAGCTTTTTGAAGACAAGTGTGTGTGAAAATAAAAATTTACATATGTTAATCGCAAAACTATTTGAAAAACATGTTCTGTTCATTGTATCATCTCAATTACACCTTTTAAAATCGTTAGATAAACTGACCTAATTTTTCGATTATATCGATGCCTATTTCTTTGAGAATTCTTAGCACCTCGTAGAACTTGAAAGTTTATTCGTATAAATATAAACGAGCAATACATTGAAGTTGTCTTAATCAGGATGATGGTCAATGTTTAGTAAGCAGCTCAAGGCAACAACATAAAACCTAACAGGATTATTAAATAAATATCAAAGAGATGTACTAATAAATGGAAAAATATATATCGCCAATAAATTTGTAGGTCCGTCGGCTCGTAAAGGCAATACATGTTATATTATTCATTGGTTCAACTAGAATTGATCAAAGATCAGTCCCCATGGAAAACATTTCGATTTTATGTGGCTAATTTATTCAAATGAAATCAATTCGTTTTATCTCCGGCCTTGGCGAAGTTTAATTAATTCGAAATTCTTTGTTTCCATTCAATAACTTTACGCACTCCTCCTGACACTGATTCAAGTCGATAAATTATCGTCAGGAACTCTAGACTGTTTCAAGTTTGTTCAGTTTTTCCGCCTGACGTTAACCGTTTCACGGCCGGCGAACGACGAATCGGAGGAAATTCGATTGGAAAATTTTACTCGTTTAATTACAGGTTAAACTAGTCGAGGTAAAAAAACAAAATGCATTATGCAACGATGATAATAATAATAATACCGTATTTTATCAATGTTATTTTTAACCAGGTCGTTTAAGCAAGAATTTAAAAAGCGATTATTAAATCGTTATTTTAAAGGTATTGAATGTTAAGTGTTGGTGTTATTTCAACGATCGAATGTTGTGCAATATTTAGTTTACGCTTAACAAATCGATATGAAAATTGATCGGAATTTACTTGAGAGTTGCACCAAATACAATAATTCACCAGCAAATCAACCCTAATAAGAGCGTTTTGATACGGTGCAATATATTGCACCTATCTGTGAAGCATTAAATTGCAATAAACCTGCAACAAATTGCTGCAATATTTCATTGCAGTTAAAATACAAGTGTTTAAATGCGTTGTTTTCACACGTATGCGATATGATAATTTTAATTAAAGCTTGTATAAAAGCTGCAATGCAATATTGCAGCAATAAATTGCAATAGATTGCACCGTCTATGGTGCAATCGCTAAAACGCTATGGTAATCTTAATAACGGTTATATTTTCTTCTTCTTGCAGACTGATAGTGAAGTGACCTACGAAGAGGCGGCCCGCTTGACAGGCGACGGGCAAGACGATGACTTCGAGGACGAGTTCTGCGTGTACCACGACCTGCCGCCGCCGCCGGACGGCGGCTACGGCTGGGTGGTGGTCTTCGCGTCGTTCATGTGCAACATGATAGTGGACGGTATCGCGTACACGTTCGGCATATTCCTCACCGAAATCGTCCAATACTACAGCGAATCGAAGGGAAAGACGGCTTGGGTGGGCTCCCTGTTGTCGGGCATGTACCTGAGCGCCGGTCCGCTGGTCAGCGCGTTGACCAACAAATTCGGATGCCGCGCCGTTTGCATATCGGGCAGCATCATATCGACGGTGGCGTTCGTGCTGTCGATCTTCAGCCCGACGGTGAATTGGCTGATGTTGACGTACGGTTTCATGGGCGGCGTGGGATTCGGTCTGATCTATTTACCGGCGGTGGTTTGCGTCGGGTACTACTTCGAAACGAAGAGATCTTTAGCTACCGGTATAGCCGTATGCGGATCGGGCGTCGGCACGTGCGTTTTCGCCCCTTTGGCCACCATGCTGTTGGAGGAGTACGGTTGGAGAGGAGCCAACCTCATACTAGCCGGTTTGATTTTGAATTGCGCGATATTCGGAGCGCTGATGCGGCCTTTGGAGTACCCCAAAGACAACGGCGAGAAGCCGCTGTTGCAGAGAATGGCCGAGGAGAGGAAACTCGCTATGGAAAGGGGCAGCATCGGAGGATCGTACTTCATGGTGCAGCTGCCCGACGGCACGATGGAGAAGAGGCAAAAGCAACCGCTCAACAGGGACCCGGGCGTGCATTCGAGCTTGGCCTTGGACCAATTGGCGGCCGGTAGTAACATGACGCCCATTCCGACGGTGCCGACGTTGCCCACCATCACGGAGGCCAGGGCGATCGAGCACAGCGGCAGCTCGGGCTCGCCCAGTCCCAGGGAGAGCGCCAACGAGATCAAGAACGCGGCGAACGCGAAGGGCGAGGAAAAGTCGGAGGCGAACGCTCGCAAGGATTCCGACGTGGGCATCGAGATATCGGCGCGGAAGACGAGCAACAACGCGAAGATCATTAGGAACGCCAGCCAACCGGCGTTCACCACTCACGTGCAAGGGTTGCCGAAGAACGGATCCGTGCCGACGTTCGATCGAATGAGGAAGACCTCGTTCGGTGAACGATTCAAGCCGACTTTAGTTCCTATTATATCGACGTCGCGGAACGCCGTGAACAGTTCCAATAGCGATATGAGGAAGAAGAGGAACGATTCGACGGGGTCGTTTCTTAGGAACAATGCTAGCGAGGTGGGTCAATTTGAGTTTTATTTGCGTAATTAAACGCATTGTAATTCGGTTGCGAGAAAATGTTTCATCTAAGTGAATCATGTAGAATCTTCGTATTTTGTACTGAAGTTCATTCGTTTACCTGCAATAATGAAACACAAAGGAACAAAGGATTATAAATACTGATTTTATTGATTAGCGCGATTATTCGATTGCCTCATTGATTCGAATATCATAATATACAGGGTGTTAATTAATTGAGTGGCGATACTTCAGGATGTGGATATTTGGATGATTTTAAGAAGAACACCCCGAATAAAGTTTTCACTGAATTTTGTATAAAATGCTCGACATTGTATTATTGTGGTAACAATCTGTCTGCGAAATGAGCTTTGTTCTGTTCGAAAATTATGCGTATATTTGCACACGCTGATTCACGGTCGGGTGAAAACGGGCTCATTGCCAATTTTTATAAATGACATTCCTAAAGCGAGCGAACGTTTCCTAGAATGATTAACAAAAATATCCGCTGAACGAAAACAATGCGCTTTATATTACCCCAAATTGCAAATGCGCTCCATGGTATTCAAATTTCCCGTTTGTGTTTTTTTAGGTTGATGTAGAAAGTTTAGCCTATACGTCCAAATTATCGATAAGTAGTAGGAAGGAGAAAGCTCAAATGGTTCGACCGATGTCGAGGAAGGATATTTTTTACTCGGGCTCGGTTCTGAATTTGCCCGAATACAAATCGCAGAAATCGCTCGCGAACTACCGACAGAGCATTCTGAGCCTGCCCCAATTGAAAACTGACGACGACGATGGTTCACGTAGGTATTCCTGAAATTTACTCAACAATTGCTCGAGGTATACTCGAGTAGCAGAGATCTATAGATTCATACAGAAGTAGAATGTACAATGATATTAATAATAAACGTGCTCATACCTTCACACAAATCAATTACTAGTTATGCTAGTTATTTAGTAGGACAAAGTTTTCCTATAGATAAATGTTACTATTCGACGAAAGTTCCCCATTGTTAATGTGCAGTACAATATACTAGTTATGCAAGATAAAATTTAAGTTAATTTAGAGGGAAAAGGCTTTTGTTAACTTGCATTTAAAGATATAAGATAATGTAATATTATATTTAGCTGTTTTGAGTTGCTGAATTTTTTCTATACTTTTTCTCAGAAAGTTTACTTGCTGGTTATTTTTAAAATCAGTTCTCCCAACAATGCGTAAAAGCAAATATTTATATTCATTTTAATATTGATAGTCTAGTGTATCATAAATCTATCTTTATAAATCATTACGTTTTAAACGATTGTTGTAACAACCTTGCTTGTACTATTTTATTTTACGAATTTGATCGTTAGATGACGTTTGCTCGATTCCTTTGAAAATAATTTTCTTTATAGAATCGTTTAAAAAAATTGCTATCAAAAAGTATTACGATGCAATAAATATTAACAAAGCAGCAGCTAAAAGACTTTCTATGTATTATTTTACAAGGAAGGTCGAGGCAAACTCGTTTTTCATTTAAAAGAAAATACTGTATATCTCAAAAAAGTACACTAGTTGGAATAATTACGTTGTTTTGAAGCTAGTACATGCTTCGTTGTGATAAAACAATATTTTATATAAGCGTTTACTCACGATGATATAGGAGGAATTTATGAGTTTACAGCACGTCACTTATTAATATTATAAAAATCTCTTTATAGTTTATAAAATTTGGAAATAAGTAACATAAAAAAATGATTTAGGTTTGTTGCGAGATTAATTTTGTTACGTTTCGTTGCAGCTGGTGATATTTGCCCGTGCTTGGTACTTCCTGATAGCTTTAAGTCCGCGCTGTCGCAAATGCTAGATGTAAGTTTACTGAAAAATCCTGTGTTCGTACTTATAGGAATTTCCAATCTATTCGGAATGGCCGGATTGTACATACCGTTCGTTTACCTAGTAGAATGCGCCAAAAAGGACGTAAGTACACCGCACCGATCCATTTACCTCACCCTTTAATACACGTACTTATCGATTTTAGGGTATCGAAGCGTCGCGAGCGTCGTTTTTATTGTCGATAATAGGAATAACTAACACGGTGGGTCGCTTGGTGTGCGGCTACATCGCCGATTTCCCTCAAGTGAACGCGTTGTTCGTCAACAATTGCTGTTTAATCGTATCCACGACAGCCGTAGCCTTAACTCCATTTTGCCATACTTACGCTTTGTACGTCACCGTTGCGATATTTTTCGGCATCGCCGTATGTAAGTACCTTTTATACACAAACACAGAGTTTTTCAAGCTCCCCGTTCATTAGAACTACAGCGGAAAAAACCCTGCATATTCCAACCACTTCAAAATCCCTTTTGTTTTCCAGCCGGCTACATCTCGTTGACGTCGATAATCCTGGTGGACCTGCTCGGCTTGGAGAAGCTGACGAACGCCTTCGGTTTGTTGATACTGTTCAGGGGGGCGGCCGCCATCGTGGGCTCGCCGCTGGCCGGCGCCCTCTACGACGCCACCGGCTCCTACGACGTGCCGTTCTACGTGGGCGGCGGGCTGTTCGCCATATCGGCGGCCACCAGCTTCGCGGCGCCGTGCCTGAAGGGGTTCGCGAAGGGCGACGAGCCGTCGCCGGGCGACGGGCCGCTGGCGCCCATCGACGAGGACGAGGAGGAGGAGGAGGACGAGCCGATCACGATGGGCGGCAAGAGCATACCGACCATCGTGGAGACGGCGACGTCGAGCCCCGACGAGAAGGAGGAGATCCAACTGAAGGAGTCTGTGTTATAAGTACAAATTTAGATTAGTTTCGACTGTTGGGTCGGTTTCTGAAATCACCTGGAAAGATATTGGTTTTTCTTTTTTCTATCGGCGTGCCTGGTGTTGTTTATTGGAGATACGTGTAGTAACAGGGAGTCGTTGTTTTTGAATTATCAATAGCAAATTAGCGTGTGGAAGAATTAAAACGTGACTTTTTATCTATTAGTTATTATACATACAATACCAAAGGGAAATTGTGTTAATAAAATGAGAAAGCCCTACAAACACTAAACTGTATTATTCGATATTAGATATAAAATTATTTTTTTATATTCGACTATAAATTTTAACACTAATAGGTACTTATTAAGTTTCATTTAAGACTCGACTACATTGTATAATAATAGATTTTATGTAATTTTTGTTACATTGCTTGCCTTTATGATTGAACATGGGTAGTTTCCGAGTAACATTCGCGAATAACTTGCCATAAAGTTATAGGTACTTAATTTTCTATTTTACTCTTTATTCGCCACTAAAAGTGATTGGAAAACACGCCATTTTCGTTCATAGATAAAAATACAAATCAATTATCCAACAAAAGAACATTAAATAAGAGTGCGATTAAAACCATTAGTGTCTTCAGGGTTTTTTCTATGTAATAACAAACATGCTAAACAAAATGTAACCCGATGTATTTATTCCGAGATGATAAAACGTGTACTTAAAATAGCCGAATATAAAAATGACAGTGACGAACAAAATTCGATCATTTTATTTGTTATTGATAACAATATCTGTGATAATAATACTGGAGTCAGATAAACCCGTTAATAGTATTAGCTTCAACGAAAATGTTTGTATAATAATAAAACCAGTTGGACGTACTATATATTTTTCAGGGTGATTGAATTTCAGAAAAATGTATTAAATAGCGGAGATAATGTTTCAGCCGAATTTTAACATGTTACTGTAGTTTTGTTGTCTCCATTGAACACATTACAAGGTTTATTTTTGTACGCTAAACGTAAAATAACTGCTCTAATAGGAGAAAATAAAACTTGTAATATTCGTTAAGATCTCATCGAGTCAATTTCCATAAATAATAGTCTGGGTATTGTTAAATCGGCATGTAATAAAAGGGGTATCCATGAAATTTATTAGGAATCATTGATGCGCTGTAACGCATTCCAATAATTTCGTTTTATAATTTTTTTGAGTTGTATTAAAAGAAAAAAAAAGGGGTCATTATTTTACTTTGTGTAAGTAAGGTAAAAGTATAACAATAAGTGCGTAGTAGCATTGTGCCTAATAAATTTAAAAATGTATAATTTTCAGTATCCAATGTTAATGTTTTGAGGAAATGAGGTACTTTTTTGAACCGCAGAGCACTCATATACTTATTGCAAAATTTCACGAAATGCTTATTTCTGAATATTATTAATAAGTTTAAGTGAAACTTAATTCCTCCGATTTTTGAAAATTCTTTATTCTTTTAGTGTAAGATTCTTATAGTTACCATAATATTCTTTTTAATTATTTATATGCAAATTTATTATCAGGGCTTTTTTCTACTGTATTTAAGATATTTTAACTTCGGATATTTGCATATAAATATTAAACAAAATTTATTATTACCTATCCTTAAAAGTGTAAATATTAAAAGGATAACCGTTGGACGATTTCAATTTTATGTAAGTGTAACATTTATTGAAAAAAAAATCTAGAGGACTCTCTCTAAAAAAATAACTATCCATGTTTGAAGAGTTCTAAAAAATTGTTATGAAATGATAGAAAATGTACATGCCACAATTGCTTTTATGATGAAAAATTAACTACATAATTGAAACATATAAAGCACGACTTCTGTACTTATTAGATATAATTTTTTCGATTCTTCTCCTCGACAAATGCAACTCGGTAATAAATTTTGTTAAAGAATTTACATTAATTTCTAATTAGTGATATTTAGTATTTTTTGTGAATATTAGTATGTAAATTTTAGGCTATGTACATTAAGAAATTATATTTATGAATGTATGATATTTCTTTGACAATATTAAATTTTTTATTTTCCTCATAATATTTAATAGCAAGGAGTGATGCATCACCCTTGTAAGGTAGTAGTAGCTCTTTAGACATAAAAAAAAAACTAAGAAACATTAAATATCTATTTAGAAACAATCCAATGTGCAATAATATTTAGAGTATGAAAATATAATATCCATAAACATAAATATTCTCACAAACAACTATAATATTCTGTTATAATGTGTATAATATCTAAAAATCACAGTATATAAACAAATGTTTTGGCACCTAAATTTTAATAACACAACTCGAGAACTTTTAAACTCAGATTAACCTCGTCCCACTATAACGAGTGATGTATATATTACGGCTAAAGTTAGATAAACGACTAAACCTAGGTTTCTTGGTTATTCCGCAGTTTACCCGGGTAAACTTAGATTAACTGGTTTATCTATAATAACAAAAAAACTCCTGTGGTATCGATGAAGCAACCAGAGTTTGAAAAATTCCCGAGTACAAATTCGAATTAACTTAGCTTATGCTACAATCGAGTTCCCCCTGCTTGGGCAAGCTCTCCAATGTGACGGCTACAGCTCGGGTCATGTAAGTCATAGTTCCGTAACACCCGCTCGGGGCGCTGTCGTAGAAATGTTGACATATGTAGGCAGCGCCGCCGCAGAGCAATCCCCCAGTCTTCGACATTTCTCTCAATTCCTTCGGCTTGGCGCAACACAGCGTAGCATCACCGTCGCATTTAATCTAATAATGTATTAATAATAAATTCCAAATTCTATTAAACATAATTTAATATCTACCTGATCGTCTAGGAATAGTTCGTTAGCTATATGAACCAAATATTCGACTTGGATAATCCCTCCCAAGGAGCTTACGATGTTGTATTCGGAAACCAGGGTTAGTACCATTAGAGCTTCTACTATCAATTGCCGGTACTCCGGTTGTGGAATCGTATTGAGCACAGTTTCCACTGCTAGAGCGAATTTCAGTTCACCAGGCGTCATTTCCTGTGTTAGCGTTTGCGGCAAGACTTTTCCGGCTATATCCAAACCGTGACACTAAAATTTAATATTCCAGAATTAATCTTCTCATCTTATTTAATAAAAAAATCGTACCTTCTCTAATATTCCCCAAACTCTCGAGTAGAAATCTCTAGGTACTCTATTTAAAGCACCGTCCAATCTTCTTCTTCTTAACCATTGTCCTTGCCTATCGGGCTCGGAGGTTTCATCGGCCATCTCAGCAGATAAACTGATGTGACTTTTCTACAAAAATGAGATGTTGAAATATAATTTATTTGTAGGAAGTACCCGTTTATTACCTTACTAATACGACTGGATTTATTTGTGATTATCGAAAAGTTACCTCTACCAACTGAAAAATGGTGGAATTCATTAAATATGTAATAACCAAAAGAATTCATTACATACCGCTACTGATCGCGAATTCTTTGCCGCTTATAATATGATGCAACAAATTCTTCATTTCGAACGGGCTCAAATTCAACAAGTGCTCGGAGGCTTCGTCTCCGTCGCAAATGAGCGTCCTGGACAATTCGGTGGCCATCACCTGGATAATCAAACCCACCCTTAGCCTAAGCATTTCCAAGAACAGCTGAGGCTCCGTCCTGATGAACATCGCCAAGTAAGACAAGAGCTCCTGCGTCAACATCGCCGTACTGTCGTCCTCTCCGTAAGCTTCGTGTATGAGAAGCCTCAGGTCATTTTCAGGAAGCGGAGCGGTGATGGTGTGCTCGTTGTTCGGTGGCATTCCTGCAAATAATTCATCGATTATCATTGTTTGTTAATTTTTAGTTAAAATTGGACGTACCTACAGTGATTTGCTTCTGTCTAACTAGCAAATCGGTGACCGATTTGGCCAAATCTTCGACCCTTTTCCCCAGCATACCGGCCGTATGTCTCACCAAGCCCCACTTTTTCTGATGGCAGGCCTTCTCGTACAAACCTTTCAGTAGATCTTTTACGGTTACGACCCGGCCGAATTCCAGCATGCCGGTGTTGTAGTCCAAGCCTTTGGACGCCACTAAATATTGCAAAATGTCGCCTTGCTCTTCGAGCGATTCGGATTCTCTCAGCATTGCGAACAGTTCGTCTACCTGGACAGCATTTAAGCGATTAATGCGTTAAAACGGTAACTATAAGATTGAAAATTACTTCGGTATCGGCGTATTGAGTTTCGGACAAGTTCCTGTGTCTCGAAATATTGATAATGGGCGATTCGATTTTCTTCTTGGGTCTTTTCTCCGGTGATGGCGACCTCACGGGTGGTTCCTTGACGTTATCCGTGGCGTCCGCAGAAGGTAGCGAGAAATACAAGGAACTTCTTCTGTCTAAAGTGCTGCCTTCCATTCCCAGCGTTTCGGCTGTAAAAACGAACCGTTAGGTAGAATATTTAGGAGTCTGGTGAACTTACAATCGACGTTAATCGATCTCGTCTTCTTGACGGCTCCTCGGACCGACATTTTTCTGATCAAATGCCTGTTCTTCGGTGCGGCCCGGTTAACGGTTAACAACGAATATTTGTTGGATAGGGATTTCACCGAGTGCTCTTCCATGTATTGCTGCACTTGGGGATTTAGCTCTACACAAAATCGATAACGTGAGTGGCGCGAATGATAAAAAGAAAAACCGCCTTACTGTCTGGCAATCCGTCTTCGTGACAGCCCAGAAAGCTGAGGTTCGTAATGCAACTGGTGCTCAAAAAATCGTTCAAGTTGCCCAATGTTACTCTTGTGCCGTTTATGTAGCCGGATTTTAGCTTCTTCATTGTCGTCACCATTGCCAAAGGCAGTTTGTCTTCCTCTAAAAATAGTATTAAAATTATACAGGGTGTTAATTAATTGAATGCCGATACTTCAGGATGAAGGAGGTTTAGGACATATTGATATGAACTTTTCTTCTTAACATCACCCAAATATTCACATCCTAAAGTATCGGCACTCACTTAACTAACACCCTATATAAATGTACTTATTTCGTATTTAAAAGTATATAAGTAATGTGTTAGTGCCCCAAAGGTGTAAATTGTAACATACAAAAATACAAAAGTCGACAAACTTCATGCAGAGACTTATTAGGCCTTTAACCACCATCAAATTTGAATGATTCATGAAGATATATTTAATAAAAAAAATAATTTTAAACTTGTATTAGCCAAAGTGCTGTGTGTTTTTTGTAAATAGCAAATTAAATAAAATTGTAACCGTACCTAAATGATTATTGGTAATAACGACCGAAATAGTAGGCCTCCCGAGCATATTTCGCCAGCTCATAGTCAAAAATGCCAGATGAGCTCTAACTTTATCCGCCAATAGAGCTATGTCATAGCTCGTGTAATATTCCTCTGGATCGAAATTCTACGCCAAAATAGACCGTGGACAAACATGCAACACACCACAATTAATCATTCCTTGGCAAAAAAATATCAATTTTATAATAATAAAAAAAAACTATGTACGGCGCTTTCAAAAATCCCACCACTCGAATCAGTTAGTAGTTACAATTTGAAACTGAACACAATAGCTCAATTCATTAGTACTTGAAAACCAGCAACAACATAATTCCAACTAATCGTGTGGCTCAAAAGTACATTCAAATTAAACCAATCGAAAAATACATTTAAATCGAAGCACTCCTGATCCACATGATACATAAATATTTCCTTCCTGTATGTACCTAATTGTATTCTTCGACAAACAGCAGTCATTAGAGGTCGCCCAAGCATGTTCTGCCAGCTCGATTTCAAAAAATTTATTTCGCTCTTCATCATATCTATCATCAATTCATAGTCCGTAGCTATGTAATTTTGGGACATATCCGAAAACTAATAATAATTAACAATACTAATAGATTCCAGCGAAAGCCAGGGATTGAATTATGCATTTTATTAAAAATTTGAGTTGCTCTTTATTAATTCGACTGTACATAAGTGATGGGATTATCCTGATTCAATCCCCGGTACATAATTTCATGTATTTTATACTGCTTTTGAAACCTTAGATTAATAAAATGCGTGCTTACCTGCGGCGTAAAAGCAAATATTTTATCTCCCAACGAATATAATTTACTAGTAGAAAGAATTCCAACATCCCTAGATTTCCTGCCTGTAAGACCAAGTTTTTTATTTCTACCTAAAATGTAATAAAATAAATCAAACATCCAACATACTCGTTTTGTTTTAACCTACCTAAATACGTGTACAAGTGGGATAAAACTCTAGCTGGTTGCACTTCAATAGGGGCTACTTCAGCGATAGTTTGCACTTTTATATCATGCTCAGCTAATTTCTTCTTAATCTCCTCATCTTCTGCTAAAATGACCACTTGCACGACTACGTCAGGCTTCTTTTCGGACCCCAGTCTCCTGTTTAATGGGTCCAGTTCACCGGGAGCCAAAAATCCCTAAAACATTCCGGACAGTTAACAAACTCGAGCTACCAGTATCTAATTTACTTCTTGAAGCAGTTTTCCTACGATGTACAACGATTGGGCCCAAAGGTGAGGGCAGTGGCCGTACGGGATTCTCTTTTGACTTCCCGGGTCTTTGTATTCGGCGACTACTAACTCCGGAGGCACCGAATATAATTCTGGAACTAGTTTCAAGCCATCTTCAGTTCGTATCATGATCTGAAATTAATTAAACTATAATAATTGTTCATGAAATTGACGTGTTTAACAACCTCTTCTAAATCTTTGGTATATTTAGCAGCGATTTCTTTGTTGCCTCTGAAGCAGTTGTCGAGAATCATGTAGCAGAAGAACAATGGCCATTCGCATTCTATGTTTTCAAACATTTTAAGTTCCCACGGTTCGTAATATAATCTACTTGGGTCCTAAAATGTTTTACAATTAAACATAAGTTGTGTGAATTGAATATATAACATCTTAGTACCTCTTTTGGTGTCTTGTACCCGTCCCTAAGAAACCTCTTAAACCCGTAACTACCTTGGAGTTTTTCGATGATAGTTTCCCTCGTGAAAGAAATTAGTGCAGGGTCGTCGACAGCGAAAGCAGGGAAACTAATAATCGGAATTAAACCGCTATCGATTTCCTTCGAACTCGACTCTCTGGGCAACATCGACTAAAATTAGAGGTTTAAGTATTTATTTTAATAGAACTTGTAGAACGTTTACCTGCAGGACGGCTTGGCATTTCTGAGCCTCGTCAGCTAGTACATGAATAACGCTGTATGGGCCCCCTCTCGCTCCAAATAAATCCAGCTCGTTCATAGCTTCGAGAGCAGCTTTGGCCATTCCGATAGAACTAGCATTTAATTCCGGCAGCCCGTGGTTTGTTTTATCCCCCCTTTCCCATATGCCGTAATCAGGTGTGCAATAGGCGCACTCTATGTAGAACACTAGGTTCTGAATGAAAGCCACCTCGTCCAAGTTGAACACGATTTGCAATCCCGAAGCGGTCATTTGCGCTAGAAGGAGCAAGTAGAGGGAAATGGCGTCGATTTGCAGGTGGCCCCATTCGTTGTCTCCTACAACTATTTGACCCGTGGCCGAGGAGTACTTGGCGTGCAACGAATCTAGCGGGTTCTGCGTTTTCTTGAACCTTTCCACTTTGTCTTTTTGCTGTAACATGGACATCAACAGCCCTCTCATCAGTTTCACGCACGATTGTTCCAACTCGTACGTTTTAGCTCGGTCTTCGTCTTGATCGGCTATTTTCTTGTAGGACATAGAGAGCCCCCAAACTGATAAAACGCAGTAGACGTTGTCCCTGATCCAAGCGTGGTTATTTTCTTGGCTCGCTGGAAATAAACCCGTCACGGGATTTTGGTGCTCCATAATCACTTGGTGCACTAATCGCTGGTAGTAATCCAGACGTACACCGGAATTACTTCGGCTCCTCATTTTCTACGTCTGTTTATTAATTTTTAATTCAATTTAGCAATATAACTATTAAAATATCATATCATAACAAATCAAGGTGACTTTGGTTGACTTTTGACATTGACGTTTGACTTAAGCAACATGCTGTTTTGAGGACTCCGACAACTTAGGTAAACAGCTTCTCTTTGAATTTTTTATTATGAAAAAATAGAAAAATTATGCAAAAAAATCAATATTTACCTAAAGAAGTTACAAGTAAATGTTGTTTATATCATTTTGAAGAATACTTCTAGTACCTAATTTATTGTAAACTGTTACAATGTGTTATTCGGGTTGCCTAATAATAGGTACCATTTTGTATTATTTTATTCAAGAAATGTATGTTAAATGTATTAAAGTACAAAAGGAATAATAAAGAATGTTAGTATTCAATGTGTTTTATTACCTATAATTAGGCTATCAAGTTTCTATTAAATTGAGGCCTGAAGATCGTGCATTGCTGGACGAAAACATTATCATACTCAAATACAATTCCTATGCTTAAACTAAACCTTAATTACGAAGGCATAAAAACCAGTTACTCACCCCGAGCAACTAGCAAAATTCATTTAAAACACCAAAAAAAAAATTAATCAAACCGCGCTCGTTCAAATTACGCCCGATTTTTCTGCAAATCCAGCCAACCATTAAGCGCCTTTAAAAAGTTAACATTTCGCCGGCCCGTTAATAGAAACCTCAACCTCATATTCATATCTCGTTTCCGCAAATGTACCGCTGAATATCATTTGTATTGTGATTTCTCCAGGGAAATTATACCTTTAAACGTTAGTTTCGTTACGGCGAGAAGGGCCGGGAGTCCGCCGACCGAACAGCCCCAGGACCCTCTACCAACTTCGAATGTACGCCTCACTTGCGAACACAATCAAGGCGAATTCGTTCGGTTTTGTGTATACGCCAAGCAGGTGGAAATTATTGTCTGCAGGAATTTTACCGAGTGTTGATTTAGCTGTTCGGCTTGTCCTACATGCGCTCTCTCGCAGAAGAAAATCGAGCAAATGATGATCTAATAAGGGTAGGCGAGGGTAATCGTATATCCTATTTGTCAATCATTTATGAAAACCCGAGCGTATTTGTAGCAGGAAAGGCTGTAAATCACAGGCGAGGTGAGTAAATATCAAGTGGGACGGACGACAGTTTGCAGAGACACGCGACAGTAACAAATTTATCGAGATATATTCGGACGGTGAAGCAGGAATGATCTACGCGTGTGGCCGGCTCGTCAAAAAGGCGTCGCGACGACAAGACAGTCAGACGCCGAGCGTCGTCTACTCGCTTTCCTTTATTTACCACGTTTAGCAGGAACACGCGTTCCTGTTGCTCGCCTATTTAGGCCGCAGAGACGGAGATATTGGACTGTTCAAGATCCCTACAAAGGAAAATTTATCGACTCTTTTGAAAAAAAAAAAAACTTTTCGCTCTGTAGTTGGAGTGCAACGGAGCGAGGCTCCATAACTCAACTTCCAGTATAATTTCGAGAAATAGAACCGTCAAACTTATATTGTTAAAGTCTTAGGCATTATCATAAAAAATTCATCCAACTTTAAGCAATGCCGCAGCTCGAGAGTTAATTTTAATGAAAGATGAACGACGAAACGCAACAAACTGTACCTTCTTGTTTATTATTTCCGTAAAGTTTTCGACGGTAAACTACATTAAAGGGGGCCTTAGGAACTTAATATAGTATTTGTGCGAGCGGAGGGATGGGTTTAGAACGTGATCGGAACATCAGCGGCGCATCATGGCAGGAGAAATTGTAGAATTATAAAAAAATTGAGATTGGAATAATTATTTCTATTTGTTATACTGTTTGTAATATACGAGATATATTCTACTGACTTGTAGGAAATCAAGGGGTTGATTCCTTGGGGATATTTATACCTACCTACTTCTTATTAATTATGTACCAAAAATGCACCCCTAAAAATTGCACCCCTTATAAGTATGATGAAAATTTTGGTTAAACTTACTAGTAATTAATTAGTAGTAGTGATTAATTTATAACTCACTACCATTTCGATGGTATATCTACTATAATAATTATCCCAAAACATTTATTATAAACAAATTAATTAAATAATTGATTGATTGAGTGGATACTACATACACATTGCATCACATATCGGCCTACACACACACACGCATAGGTAAACATAACAGATGAACAATAATAATGAAAATTTTCTGAAACCAATTGTCTATAAGTAAACATTTATAGTTTGTTTTATTTATTTTGTCCGGCCGATTCGAAACCCATTAATATGTAAAATAATTTAAAATTCAATTCGGGGTAAATTTTGAATAGAAGATTATTGCATATTTTCCGGCCGGGATGACAGGAAATGCCGTACCGCAGATATATGCGATAATTACTTTTGTCCATATTCATTAACGTGAGTGATTGCTTCGATTAATTGAAAAACGCATTTATAATGAACCCTATCTACACGCATTTTAATTGAAAATAGGCCTCTCTCTGTGAATATTTTAACGTAATATAGGTATGCATGCATATGTAAATATTCCGCGTTTTATTTTTGTTTGATATACCCACACCCAATAAGTTGATTTATTTTTAATTATCCAATATGTAATTTATTATAAAAAATATGCGGATACTAATACTAATATTAATTCAATAATATTTTGCTTGGTTTCATATGCAAAAAAATATGCAGCGTTATTTATAATGGGGTTAAAATTTAAATTTCAATAAAAAATATTAATCAGATTTTTAAATTTCTCTGAGTTAATACTAAAACAACCATTTTTCGCTGACCCAAAAAAAACAACCCAACAGAAACTCAACAATTGAGAAATTACGTACCAATAAATTTTATCATGATCCGCGTATTGACCTATAGCCCCCTATCAGGGATTTATAATACACGAAACTGTCCTCGATCGAGCCAAATACGTACGCGATTCAAATTAGAGTGAAAGTGTTGGAGCGGCAAAGGAATCGAAAATGCTCAAGTTGATACCGCGAAGAGGAAAATTCAGTTTCCCGAACGCGAGATGCCTGAGCAGCGCCGGACCTCCGCGCCCGGAGGGCCCCTTGTTTCCCAGACAGGACGATTTCCCGGGAAGGCACATCGGCCCCAGGGCGGCCGACGTCAGCTCCATGCTGGATACATTGGGATTTAAGGTAAGTAGATAAATGCAACTGGTTGATTTTTTTTTATTTTACTATTTTTATCAAGGGGTTATTAAGGCGATTTCGTTTCTATTTTAGAGTCTAAACGAATTAACTGATAAAGCTGTTCCTAAAAGTATTAGATTGCAAGGACATTTGAGCATTGAGGACCCCATAAGTAAGTAATGTACTTGTACGATTATAATCCTATAGACGTGAGATTGCTTAAGATATTAGTTTCTCTTTTTCGTTGCCAACGATGGTTGGAAAAATAAACCATTTAGAATAAAACGTGTAAGAAACGTTCCCTGACAACTGTACTATTGAAGATAAAACGCGTGATCACGAAAGAGAACAATAACATTTTATTACTAAATCATCTTTGCTGGGGGTCAAGCAGATAAATATACGAGCGTTTATAAATACATTTGTGTTTTTATTGATTACTAAATCTTTGTTTTGGTTTTCTTTACAGGGTCATTAACAATCACAAAATATATTTCGTAATCTTTTTTACTCACCGAATTATTACAAATGAACATTTGGTAACAAATTACGAACGCGTATTAAAGCATTTATCAATTATCTTTCTTCACTAATTTGACACCATTTTGGAGTACACATGTAGAGGCAATTACCTAGTTCTTCAATAAATTAATTACACTTTCAGGTGAATACGAACTAATCAAGCGCATAAGTAAAATAGCCGAGAGAAATCAGATATGGAGGTCTTACATAGGAATGGGTTACCACAACTGCTGCGTACCGCACACCATCATGAGGAACATCTTCGAAAACCCCGGTTGGACTACGCAGTACACCCCGTATCAACCCGAGGTAAATTACATCCCAATATTTAAAAGCTTAGAAATTAACCAAATCATTCACAAATTCGCCTGCAGATAGCTCAAGGCCGGCTCGAAGGACTCCTCAACTACCAAACGATGGTGAGCGATCTCACAGGTCTGGACGTGGCGAATGCGTCGCTTCTCGATGAAGGCACCGCCGCGGCTGAAGCTCTATCGCTGTGTTATCGCCACAACAAACGAAAAAAGCTATACGTGTCCCACTTGTTACATCCCCAGACCATTTCTGTCGTGCAGACCAGATGCCAATCGTTGGGATTGACCGTCGAGATCGTGGACGTGTTCAAAGCCGATTTCTCCGGACGAGATGTCGCCGGGATATTGTTTCAGTATCCGGATACGGAGGGAAATATTCTCGATTTAGATGCTGTGGCTGATGATGCTCACGCTCACGGTAGGTACTTCCAATTGTTCATTGGATGGTAATAACAACGAAAGATTGAATATGTTTATAAATGTTTTTGATCCGTTTGAAGGTACTCTGGTTTGTTGCGCGACAGATTTGCTTAGTCTTACAATTCTCCGGCCGCCGAGTGAAATTGGAGCAGACATTGCCATAGGTACTTCCCAAAGATTTGGTGTTCCATTAGGTTACGGAGGGCCACATGCTGGATTCTTTGCTTGCAACCAATCCTTGGTAAGTTTACTATTACACGTAGATCAATTTTGTTTTATATATTTTTTTATTTTAGGTAAGATTGATGCCAGGCAGGATGATAGGAGTAACGAGAGATGCTGCCGGTAGAGACGGATATCGTCTTGCTCTCCAAACTAGAGAACAACACATTAGAAGAGATAAAGCCACTAGCAACATTTGTACTGCCCAAGCTCTTCTGGCCAATATGTCTGCTATGTACGCTGTTTACCACGGACCCCAAGGACTCAAGGATGTCGCAACGAAAGTACACAACACTACTTTGGTAACATCTTAACATTATCCGCAAGAATTTAACGACTAAGTACTTTTATCATTTAGACTCTTCATTATGGTTTGCTACAAGATGGCAATAAATTGACCAACAAGTACTTCTTTGACACATTAAAAGTGTACCCCAAAATCAGCGTGGAAGAAGTGAAAACTAGAGCAGTAGAAAAGAAAATTAACTACAGGTACTACAAAGATGGAGCCGTCGGAGTAGCCTTAGACGAAACAGTCAGATTAGAAGACATCGACGATATATTCTATACATTCGGTTGCGACCAAAGCACAGATCATTTAATAAACGAGCCGAGTATTAGAGACAAAGCACTGTACCGCAGCGACTACAAACGAACCTCTCCGTTCCTCACTCATTCAGTCTTCAACTCCCATCATTCCGAAAGCAGAATCGTCAGGTACATGAAGGTACTGGAAAACAAAGACATCTCCTTGGTGCACAGCATGATTCCCCTAGGCTCGTGCACGATGAAACTTAATTCCACAACCGAGATGATGCCTTGTTCCTTCAAACATTTCACGGACATTCACCCGTTCGCGCCCAAAGAACAATGCATGGGCTACCATCAGCTCTTCGACGAGCTGGAGAAAGATCTCTGCGCCATCACCGGCTACGATAGGATCAGCTTCCAGCCCAACAGCGGAGCGCAGGGCGAGTACGCCGGCTTGAGGGCCATTCAATGCTACCACGAAGCGATGGGCGAAGGGCACCGGGACGTTTGTCTGATTCCAGTCAGCGCCCACGGCACCAATCCGGCCAGCGCCCAAATGGCCGGCATGAAAGTGGAGCCGATCAAAATACGAAGCAACGGTTCAGTAGATGTAGATAACCTGAGAGCCAAAGCGGAACAATTCCGCGACACTTTATCCTGCCTGATGATTACCTATCCAGCGACTAACGGGATATTCGAGGAGACTATAGCGGATATTTGCAAGATTATACACGATAATGGGGGACAAGTGTATTTGGACGGGGCGAACATGAACGCTCAGGTGGGACTTTGTCGGCCAGGCGATTACGGCAGTGATGTATCCCATTTGAATCTCCACAAAACCTTCTGTATACCTCACGGCGGGGGCGGCCCCGGCATGGGGCCTATCGGAGTTAAGTCCCATTTAGCGCCGTTCCTTCCAGGACATCCCGTCGTGAATCCGCTCGGAGAGGACGCTACATCGTACGGGGTAGTCAGCGCAGCGCCGTACGGATCGAGCGCCATCCTGCCCATTTCTTGGGCTTACATTAAAATGATGGGCCCCAAGGGTCTGAGGAAAGCCACGCAAGTGGCCATCTTGAACGCTAATTACATGTCCAAAATACTCGAGCAGCATTACGCGACGTTGTTCAAGTGTCCCAGTTCGAACTTGGTCGCCCACGAGTTCATCATAGACACCAGGGAGTTTAAGAAAACCGCCAACATCGAAGCGGCCGATATAGCGAAGAGGTTGATGGATTACGGTTTCCACGCGCCGACCATGAGCTGGCCGGTGGCCGGGACATTGATGATAGAGCCCACCGAATCCGAGGACAAGCAGGAATTGGACAGGTTCTGCGATTCGCTGATTAGCATCAGAGAGGAGATCAGAGAGATCGAGGAGGGCCGAGCGGATCCGAGAATCAATCCGCTGAAGATGGCGCCGCATACGCAGGAACAGGTCATCAGCAGCACCTGGGAAAGGCCGTATTCCCGAGAACAGGCCGCTTTTCCGGCGCCTTTTGTTAAACCGGCCACGAAAATCTGGCCGACGGTCGCTCGAATCGATGATATATACGGTGATAAACATTTGGTATGCACGTGCCCACCCATACTGGATCAATACAACTATTAGGTCTATTTGTATTTATTCATTTCCATCCTGTAATTACGAATATTTATTTTTAATTAATTTATAAAGTGTCGCGTTTTGTTCATTCGTTCGTGAACACAATGTATTTTAGTTTTAATATTAAATGTATGGATTATATCATTAAATTATTGTACAAATTTTTGACCAATATAATGGTTAATTTATTTTGGAACAATTACTGTTAAAATTTATTTTATAGAATTTAACTACTTACACAATTTTATTAAATACAATTATACAACGTTTCGATGAGAAGAATTTCTTTTATTCCCGCTCGCTCTGTTGGAAACTGTTTATGCAGTTCATTGGATTTACCACCCCAAAAGTAACTTTTGTTTGGCGCGAACTAACTGCTTGCCAACTCGTATTAGACTTTTTTCTGGAAAACTTCTCTAACCCCTTAACGATATATGTCCTAAAAGTCTAGACGATGTAATTTGAAAGATATATCCCAACAAGTTCGATTCAGCACCAACAAAAACTGCCGGAAAGTTCGGATTGAAGCGAACGCAGGACCGGAAGCGATCGGTTATTCAACAGTTATTGACCCTAAATGCGCCAAATTGTAAATTGCGATTTTTATGAGAAACTATAGCAAAGTTTATTTTTGTAAATTGACTATAATATTATAATTACTGTACGTGGGCTTTGGTTGCTAAAACTGCTATTCATTTTAGTAATATTAATAAATGGCACCTTTCAAGATTAATAGAAAAATCTTATGTAGGTGAATTAAGTATGAATTTGAGTGTAATAACTATTTCCAATAGTAATACAGCCCTGCATCTGTCACCAGCAAGACTAAGGAAAAGTTCAGAGTAAAGTAAAGGGTGCAATCCGCAAATTGTCACAAACGTTACGAAACTTTTCAATTGCCTGACTGGGCGCGAAGAATATAGTACAAGAGTTTGTCAGTAAATTTTAATGTTGTAGATGTTTATCCTCTTTGCGGCTTTTAAATTGTACCGATAATTAGCCAAACGAATTAATAATTTTATACTTACGCATAATTTCGAAATCTTCCTGTAACTATTTTTATAGGGTGTATCATTTACTAAATTTTAACGTAGTATTCCGAGTCGCGCTGTCTTGCAACATATTCATTCCAGAGTGGAGCGATTAAAACATCTGTAAAAAATTAATAACTATAACGTGTCGGAGACAGCCAAAATAATCGAGGCAATAAAATTTGACGGGCCTGAGTTATAAGAAGCGGCCCGAATGGGACTTTATGATTTAAGAGGCGTGTGGAAGAAATTGCCTATGAATAACCATCCAGCTATCACTCGTAAATTACCAAAGTTAGTTCCAAGTGTGTGAAACTCGATCCCTAATAATGCGTTCGGTATGTTTTATTACCTAATATGCGGTTCGTATTTGTACAAAATCGTCTTTTAAACCAACTTTTTCCATTAAGAAGTTTGCGGTGTTAACGATGCTATCGAAATACTAGTCACTTGATACTTTAATTGTGTACTTTAGTAGAGGTAATTCGTTCCTTAAAGGATAATCCATAAAATGTAGACAGTGTATGTAAAATAACAGGAATACAATGTAATTCTACTTGTGTTATTATCATCTTCTAGTATAACGAAAAGTTTAGTTAATTTACATTTAAAATACACAAATATTATTATGTTTATTCAATTTAAAATATCTACTTTTTTCCATTTTTAACTATTTATACCTATTATTAGGTCGACACTTAAAAAAATATTTTTTTTGATTCAATTCCTCAGCAATCAGCTTTTATTTTTGTTACCTTAACACCCTCTAGGCAAACAGAATTTTTGTATGCAACTTATGTACAACCAAAATTATCTGCCATAACATTAACGTATACCTTTAAACATTTATTTGGTGGTGGTGTTACAAAAACCGGCTTCATATTTCGCCCTATATAAGAGCAATAAGGTATTTCAGCCGTAAGCTTCATGTCCGCCTTTTCGCACGACTCCCAAACATCTCTCTTGGTCGCGTTCACCCTGAATATCTTGAAGCCGCACTCGAAGGCCAACGTCTTCGACTCCTCCAACAGCCTCAGCAGGATCTCGTCGCTCTGGTCGCTCTTCCTCACGAATATATTCGACGATTCGAACACCTTGTCGACGTTGTACCGGCCCCACAGCTGCGGGTACCGTTGGGCGTACGCCTGGAACAACAGCCACTGCTTGATCTTCGGGCAGTTGATGTGGTTCGCCAGCTTCTCCTTCTGATCGGGATCCCACGGGTTGGAGGTCTCGTTGATGGCGGCGCCCACGATCGATCCGCTGAACTTGCATTTCGCTATCAGCGTCTTCCCCTCCGCCATGTTCTTCAGCGCCGTTTCGTCTATGATGGCGTTGGGCTTGATTCCGAGCGCGTAGCAGGTCGGCTCGCTGTCGTAGAAACACTCGTGCATGACTTTCAGCACCGAGTCGTAATCGTCTTTGGTCGCTTTCAGGATGATGTACTTGGAGAATTTGTAGCGAGATCGGTCCCTCAGGAGCGAGTGCTGCCTGCTGGCGGTTAGCGGTGGCTTGGCGGTGAGGAATTTTGTTAGTAATCGGGAGAACGTGGTGAAAATCATATTTACTGAAATTTTGATTGTTATTGGTAAGTCATTGGTTGACAAACAGATGATTAGCACTGTTCTAATTGCTTGGGAATATTCAATTAGCAACGTTGCTGTATTCGATAATGTGACATCATCACCAGATTAGCAGATATATCCTGTAATAGTTTGTGGTGCATTCTTTCGCAAATTGCTTCTCTTAATTATCCGTCCAAAGAAAGTTCTTTTAAGAGGATTGTGGAAACACAAGTGCTAATCTGTGTACACGATAAATCTAAATCGCTCATTTCGCGTTGGAATTAAAGTTCCTTTTGTTCCGCGCGAACGGGCGCTATGAAAAATGCTCGTCTTGCGGGAGAAAAAAAAAAGAAGAAGCAACCGAGCCTCTTCTGCGACTGATACAAATGCTCCGATTCAACAGTTTTAAATCTCACCAATTAACATGGACGAAAAAAAGAAGTAGACGTAAACGAACGGTTTCTCGTGCAATAAATTCTCCCGTTGGACTTAAATAAGACAAGGCGTATTAATCTAGATGCAGCGGGGCGACAATTTTTCGGCTACGCGCGGGATTTTCTACTGAGAAAAATTGATATTAATTAATAAACCGGCTAATTAGGCCTCTTTCCGATCCGCCTACATTAAAAATGGTGTCTTCTACAAAACATGCTATCTAACAGGATAAATTGTACAACACTATAAGTACACATTTTTCTTATAGAACGTGTTAACAACATAATGTTCGAAATTAATTAATCGAGTGAAGCACACTGTATAGAGACTTCGCGAATGGGGATCGCCTCGTAGAACGCCAATAAATCCTTGTAGATTAGGCCTTTAGCAACACGGCAGCCTAGCGCTCCCTAGGTGGCCGTCACACGGGCTACAACGGACACAACTCACGCCTATCTCGATCGTTGTTCGTTCGGCAAATCTTGAAACTACCGCAACGCGTTACGTTTTACAAGAGATAAATAAGTACCTAATCTAAGTACCACTTCCATTAACCACTACTCGTGTTTCGACACAATTTCGCTGGAAGAAAAGATTCGGGCGTTATATTTAACACCGCTTTACATGTTGAATCTTATTTTTCGAAAATTGTATGTTTCTTGTATTACATGTTATCTTTGCAAAAAGCCTTATATATGCAATTGCAGGATAAATCATTGTTCATAGTCTAAATCAATTTTAAATATTACGGTGTAATCTTTTTCCACATTACATCATTTTTTACAGATTTGTTCCAGCGCCATCCATGATCCATGCACAATGTTCTTATTTGTATACAACGTTCGAAACTGATGCAATTTATTTGTTGTAATATAATTTAACAAAGCTCTTTTTAAAGACTCTTACCTTTTAATTGGTATTTAATTTGAGTATATGAAAACATGTTTTCAGTTTTAAATAAAAAAATCCTAAATTTATTGCTGTCTTAACTTACTTACAGATAAACTTTGACACGGAGTATATTTTGAAGAAATATTATAAATATATAATTATAAATATTATTATATTATTTCTAAATACATACGTAACTGTATCGGACGTCCACAAGAAAAGTTAAAATACAAATATTACAATTAAATCAATAGTAAGGTTATTTTAGTTAGGTAAAGATCTTACGTAGATCAATTAGTTAAACTGAAACATCTTATTTTTTAATGTGACTAATTAGTTTTTGTAAATAAGTACTAAAAGTAAATAAAAAAAATACTCACTACCATTTTTTAACAAATGGAGGATATTAAAGTGATATTACGATTTACTTCCCATGATATCTAACTGAGATATGTTTAATGCAATTTTTGCGCGTACACCCGGTATCATAGACGGTAAAACCCAAAATCATCTATATTATCATTAATATTCCAATTGCACATTTAGTTTATAATTATATCGTATTCTAGTTTGTCGAAGAAAATTTTGCAGTGAGCGACGATTGCAAAATGTTAAAAAAATTTTTGAATAACTCAATGTTACTTCTGATTTTAATCTTAGAGTTGCTTAACTGTTCTGAACAATACGAATTGGTGGTACTTAGAAGTACACAAAATGTGAGAAAATCAAACATCGTCAAAAGGGTAAATATTTTAGATAATTAAATAGTTTTATGCTGAATATGCTATCCTGTTGTAGCAAAGTCCACAACAGGACGTGCCAAAAATTAAAGAATTTTTGGTCAACACCACCGTAGCCAATCGTTTCGCGGAAACTACAGTGATCAGTAAAGTGGAAAATATGGATAGGTACTCCAAGCAAACTGCTTTCTCGGTGGTGCTTCCTGAAAGCGCTTACATATCTGGTTTTTTCATGGAGACCGATGGTAAAATGTACAAAGCGTACGTCAAAGAGAAGAAAGAAGCTCGGAGGCTCTTCGCCAACGTAATTAACACAAATTTAAATTGCTACCGTATAATCTAATTGAAGAGCATTTCACTATTCACAGGAGCTGTCTACCGGTCAAACAGCCGGTCATGTTTCGGTCAGTACGCGCTACTCAAATAGATTCACCGTTAACGTTAACATCGAACCCATGAGTAAAGTCACATTTTCCTTAAACTACGAAGAATTACTCAAACGACAAAACGGTAAATACCAAATTGTCACTAACATCCAACCTGGGCAAATCGTGAAGAAATTGAAAGTCGAAGTAAGTACAATTTCATTTATTAATTTTGTTTTGGCACAACGGAATTGTGATATTCCTCTTCCAGCTTCTTTATAATTTTCTCTCAACTTCTAATTGAAATTATACCAACTTTAAACCCACCGTGTGTTATGAATTTATCGATCGAACCTCTTATATTTGTATTAAGGATAAAGCGATACGTTGTCGTGGAAACCTCGAACCGTGACATAGTTGAGTTTAACACAAACAAACATTACCTACTGCAGCAACAATGCCGATGCCAGAAATCCAAGAATTGCTAGCAAAATACGACAAAGACGAAGATAAAATCGAGGCGAAATTGAGGAAGGTCGAAAACTCCGGCGATACTTGGAAAGCCAGGCGTTTGATCGAGACGAAAGAGAATGCCAGGACGTTCGAAGAAGCGGCCAAAAGAAACAGATTGCTATTGAACGAACTGGAAGTGACGAAAGGTAATCTTCGTTCGAAGGCGATCTACAGTCCAACGGAGATGCAGTGGAGAAACATCTGCGACAATTACAAGGCCAATCCATCGTTAGTGGTCACCACATGGAAGTGCATCCTGCCAGTATACGTGTGAAACTGTTAATTACTTGAAACAGAATTAAAACCAGATATTTCAATGCAAAAATTTTTCATTTCTTAGGGAAGAGTGGTAATTTTTTGGTAGGTTTATTTTAAACTCCAGTGTAAAACCATCAACATTCGCGTTATTTTTCACTCCTTTTGTCCCATAAATCAATTAGAAATATACATAACTATTTTTTTATAGGTGAGAATAAAAGAAAGCACGCCGATAGTAAACTTAAGTACACCATACCTAGCGTCTGGTAGTAACGCTTTACTCCAACTAAACTCCGATTTGGATCCTCACGCAAGAATCAAGCGGTCTAATAACTCTGCTTACATACTTTTCGAACCAGACATAACCAGACAGTTAAATTTCGCATGCGCCGGTTTGGGAAACACCGAGTACAACGGATTTGCCGGACAATTTATAGTGGAATACGACGTGGATAGATCCAATGAAGGAGGAGAGGTAAAGTAACATATTTTTGCTGAATTTTACTAGCAACACAAATAAATTATTTCATGATTTTTAGACTATATATCAGGACGGTTTCCTGGTGAATTACTTTTCGCCGAAGAGCTTCGACCCGCTTCCCAAGCATGTAGTCTTCATATTGGACACAAGCGGTAGCATGGAAGGCTTAAAAATGCAGCAGGTGATTGAATCAATGGAAAAAATTTTACCTCAACTACATGACGAAGATTTGTTCAACATCGTACAGTTTTCTGCAGGAGTGTACATTTGGGACTTGGATTCGAAAGGAAATAACGTGTTGGGCGATGAAGATTATACGCAAGTTAATTACGGTAACTTGGCAGAAGAGTTAAAGGTAAACTTTGCGAACCAATTCTTTAAAAGTTTTGATGGGAATGATTGATTCTCTTAGAACACGCACATCACACCAGCTCATCCTGCTACCAAGGAAAACGTACAAAAAATCCTTAATCTTATAAAGCAACCATGGGACTTTCATTGGACGAATATTATAGGAGGTTTAGAAATCGGTTTATTGGTAATACAAAGAGCACAGCAACAATATCCAGATAAATACGTACCGATTATAGTATTTTTGACGGATGGAGTACCCACCGTTAGTTCCGCAGAGGAAATCACAAAGCAGGTACCTATTATCTAAATGTATATTACCTTGGATCATTTTTATGTGGTTAATTTGTATCTTTGTTTTACAGACCATAGCCCTAAATAAGGCTAGTTATAACACTCCAATTTATTCTATATGTTATGGCGAGGATGCAGATTGGCAATTTCTAAAAAATCTAAGCAAGAAAAGCGACGGCCGACCGATGAAAATTTCGGCCACCGCTGATGCTTCCATATTTTTCCAAAACTTTTACAGCACCATTTCGAACCCGACTCTAAGTAATCTCACGTTTGGGGGCCTTCCGAAAACGGCCCAAGCCACTCAAACCAATTTCTCGCTTTTTTTCAACGGATCCGAACAAGTAATCGCAGCGAAAGGTACGAATGAAACTAATAGAATATGTAAAAATTATCCTTAAAAATTTCTCACTAGGTGTTACCGGCAACGACACAAAACCGATAACAGTATCGGCGAGAGGTAAAGACGGTTTGGTCAATCTGGAATCCAAAATTGGTGTACCGCTTACGAAATTGGAAAAAATTTGGGCTTATCTCACTATTAAGGAATTATTTGATCAATATGAGAGCACTGGAAACGCGACGCTGTATGATCTAGCCCTTAACCGGGCCCTGAATTATTCCCTTGTGACTGATTTTACGTCTTTAATCGTCGTCAAACCCGGCGGCGAAGATGAAGACCCTGTTGAACCAGAGGATGCTTTTATGGGTATATTTCCAGAACCGCCGGGAACTTTACCCATGTGCAATAATATTACTGGTACGTACGATTTGTAGATACTTCTCTCCTCTAAAACAATATAGCATCATCCACCAGTTTAGCTCCATGTTCTAACATAAGAACCTAAGGTTTTTAACCATGACCAAGTTATTTATAAATTAGATAGTTTTAAGCTGGCCAAACAAATTAACCAGACGATTCATAATTGTAATGATCAAATTACAGATTGGATTATTGAGCATTACAATACCACAGAACCGGAGATTGACGAAACTACAGAGCCACCTTACATCTTTGACCTAATTGAACCCGATTTTGAAGTTACTACCAGCACGACGGAAGTTTCTACTACTACTACTGAAGCCGAGACAGAGATGACCACGACAGATATACCCTTCATCGATGAAGACATTCTTGAATATGACTTTGGCTTTTCTTTGTCTGAAACAACAACGACAACGGAAAAAATTGTGACTTGCATCGACTCGATTTACGGTTGTTGTTACGATGGAGTAACTTTTTCTACCAATCCTAACAAGGATGGATGCGACCCTATTCCCGATCAAGGTGATTTAAGTAAATTTTCTAATTGTAATACAAACAATGATAATATGTAAGAAACTAATAGCAAAATGTTCTATTGCTGACAGAAAGTTGTTCATTGTCGGTGGATCCTGGACCGTGCAATAACAATTCAATAAAATGGGTTTACAGTACAATAAATAATCGATGCGAGATGTTCCGATATGGAGGTTGTGGAGGAAACACCAACAGATTTGCGACCAGAGAAACGTGCGAAAACACTTGCGTTAATCCCGTTGATTCAAGTGAGTTGTAAACGTCTTGTTTAATTTTATTTTAGCGATTTTAACGGTAATTTTTATTCCGTCGGTTTCAGAAAGATGCAAACTTCCCATTTCGTTGGGCAATTGCAAAATGAATGTGTTGCGTTGGTTCTACGATAAATCCCGAGACGAGTGCGTTAAACATTTACACGGCGGTTGTGACGGCAACAATAATAGATTTCGTTCTAAACTTGAATGTTTGAAAACATGCAATCCTAATAAATGGGAACAAACCATAAGAGGTAAATTTAATACACTGAATATAATAGACGAATAGGATACTAAACAAATATATTTTATACAAATTTGAATTTTTTTTTAAGATTACACTTAACTAATATACCGAGAACTCAATCACACACTATGTAATATATTATTAAATGTTTGTTAATGATGATTGTTTTTAGACTTGTGCTATCAACCGAAGGATAATGGTACCTCGAGTTGCAGACGATTCGAAAAGAATTACTACTTCAACAGTACGGTGGGTCAATGCATAAAATTTTGGTTCAGTGGATGCGGCGGGAACGACAATCGTTTCACCAGTAAGAACGTGTGCGAAAAACTCTGCATTTATTCCAAAAACAAATCTATTTGCCAATCTCCGCCAGAGTACGGTGATTGTTACCACAATTACAGCATGTATTATTTCGATACGAAGACTTCCAAATGTGAGAAATTCCAGTATAGCGGTTGCGGTGGAAATCAGAATAGATTTTTAACCTTGCATAAGTGTCAGGATTTCTGCCTGCACTCTAAAGCTAAGTACTCATAAGTATTGAGAGTTCTATAAGTTTTATATGTAACTGGCTGTTTTAAAAATATAAATTAGAGATATTAATATATTTATAATGATAGTTTGAAATTTATGTGTAGTGTGTGTATAGTTAAACAATATATTGACTCAAAATATACAAAATTAATTTAATAACAAGAAATTTTTCTTAGACCCCAATCATGTCAGATCTAGACATACACCATTTTTAGGCAGATGCATAATTTTTTAGTGCTCTTCATAAATTAGTCGTGAACGGGAAAATGGTTCCGAAAGGAAGAAATAACAGCCGTAAAACCAACGGAGCGAATTTTAATTTTGCGGATAAGTACGAACTCGACTTGTTCTTTTCGTATCCCTCGAATTACTTGACCCTTTTTAGGGCGAATCACATACCTAATTAAAAAGGAATTTCCTTTCGGGTGTATAAAAGAGTATTAGGTACAATTTGTCCGGTTAAATGAAAGGGTTTGCCGTTTAATCCTGCGAGGGCCAGTGGTCCTTCCCGTTTCCTTCCGTTGCAGGACCGGACTACTATTATTCAATAAAAAATATAGTTGATCATCTACTAATTAACGTATAGTTTTGATATTTTGTTATACATATAAGGAATGTCTCTGAACTTTTTGTAATTTTATTGTCGCAAGTCAATGTTTTTGGTTAAAATGTTTCAAGTATGTAAAAGTATGAGAATATAAAATTTTTCAATACTATACTTTATTATATGAATTTATAGATTAAATTAATGAATCAAAAATCCGCTCCTGCCGAAATAGGTCCAGAATTAACAGACCAAGTAACCAAAGAAGATCCGTTTATCCGGAGAGCCCGTGCCCGCAGAGAGCGTTGTGTATTTATCATTCCAACCGCATCTTATATAGGTGCCTATACGTTATATCGTGGCATTTATCACAAAGAAAAATTCCATCAAATTGGATGGATTTAGGTTTGGGAAATAAATTCCTGTTGGGAGAACGGGAGGCGCGCCTGGGCGGAAGGAGAAACCGTTTTATCAGCCGAAAACTGCGGTTACTATTAGTGATTGAATTTTTTATTTTTTTTATTTATTATATCCAGCAGGATAGAACAACAAACCCTTCATTTTTATAAAAACCTCACCATCAAAGATTGTAGGAAAATTTTTTATAGGATCCTTATTTTACCTTATTTTTACATGTAAACTCCCCTATTCTTTTATTTACCATTTTCGGACTCTTTGTATATATTTTTTATTAATTAACATATTTGTTCCTGGCTAAATAAATAAAATAATACACATCTCTCACAGCTGCAGCATTTGCTATTAATTCGACGTTATTTTTTAACAGCCATACTTATTCGGATTTCAGAATATTTTAGAATAAATTTTCATTTTCCACTATAAAATCGCCTAGCGACGTTTATTCTAACGCTAATAACTCGCTCGATTAATAATTCATAGGTTAAAGAATACATTACTCGAGCAGCAACCAAGGGAACGTCAGCTCATAATTATTGATAAGTTTCTTACGCACGTAATGCGATAAATTGAGATTGTACGTATATGGTAAAGGCGTACGTAACGAGATTAACTTCTGAAACGAGAATTATTTATTATTCCAACGAAAAAAAAATCTCTATATAAATATCTTCGGCGACCGCGGATTAAAGTGGTTTAGAGACTTTGCATTTGTTTGTATGCCTTCTTACGATGTAAATAATAAAAATATAACATTGCTCATGATTCTGTGATATCCAGCTATTTCTTTCGGTCTGTACTTGCAAAAAAATAGTTTCGGCTCGAGCTCAGGTGGTCCTTTTGTTGTTGCTCCTCAGCGAGAAAAACGAAATAAAAACACGCGCTAATCTGAGCCCTTAAATCTGCCGCTTAAAATAATAACGTAGCCCTAAATTAACCTGCTCGACTCGGAACAATAAACAAAAGAGCCGTGTGCGTCCTTTGAAATTTAATAACCTTATTTGTTTTTCGAAAACAAGGCGTATAGTCGAATGCGGACACCTTTTGGCTCGCAATAACGTCGGACCGTAGACTAAATAAAGTACTCCTGGCCGCAGGAACGGCACAATGAAGTCTTAAATTTCTTTCGACAACGAATCGTAGGGGTTCGCGAAAATGACGAACTAATAAGCGTACGTTCCAACCGGTATTTAACAATCACAACGTTTAGCCACATCTTTACAGCACTCGATATAACTGATTGAATTTTATTATGAAAATGTTTCACTTTTTAAAGCTGTAATACAATAAGCGCTTGCTTAAACCCGACCCAACGAAAACTGAAATCATCCTCCGGCTGTCCGTCTCAAAGTTTATTTAACGGAAGATAATGAACACAATGAGATCCGACCTTTTAAATACGAAATATCCTTTTCAATCTTCGCTTCATCGTTCTGCTAAGCCTATTTTTCGGCCTTAAGACGATTTGTGTAACATGTAGCCGATCACAAAGCGATGTGTATTGTAACGTGAAATTAGAACCCCCGACAGGAAAATAACCTATTTAAACTGCTTTTGTCGAGTTTTTTTTACTACCGATGATGCGAGCGAATGCCTATCGTTCTAACGAAGACAGGTAAAGAATTATTGAGATGTAACGTTTCTATTTAGTACGATCAATAAGAAAATTATTAATGTTGTTGAGTAACGCGCAATTAGTCAGATTGGGGCAAATTGAAGAAACGATTTCATTTCCATTTTTTAGTTGGTCCAAGTTTGTTTCACGTAGAAGAGAATGGTAGTGTGCTTAGCTTAGTTGTAGATACAAATTAAATTTCCTTTGTCGAAGTAAACCATCGAGGGGATTATCGAGTTTCTGCATAGCGGAGCATTTTGAGCTAATTAACGAAACACGTCCGTATGGCCTTAAATCATGAACGTCGCCGCGCAAAAACTTGGTAATATGGGTTTGTTCGACCGTTCCTCATTAAACTTTACGGTTGCGAAGTTTGTTTCTTTTCGAAGTTTCTTCGTGTCGGTACGTTTAATTGGGCATCGCCAGTTTTTACAATTTAACCGAATTTGTTGCGAATAAAACGATTGGAACGGCTCCAAAACACTTATTTTGTAGCTTCCTGGAAATTTGTTAACTTTTAACGATTTCGAATATCTGCCATTATAAGACAAACCCAAAAAATAATAATATTAATTTTACTTTCCACCCTTTTTTTGGTTCTCCATAACACATTTCTCTTTTTTCAGCTGCTTCCTTTGATTCCTTTCACCTTTATTCAGTCCGCCCTGGAGTTTATCCAACTAATTAAACTTGAAATTTACCTTTCGATAAACATACAAAGTGTTCTACTGGATGTTATTTTAACGAAATTATAAATAACGACAAAACAAATGTTATTTTTAGAGTTGGTTGAAATAATTAAATTCCGGTTTTATGCATACATTTAAATAATTCGCCGAAAACCCTTTGAGTTTATAACAAGGTATAATTGTGATAGGGCAAAAGTAGCAAAGCAGTAGGACAAAAGTTAGTTTTATCCAAAACTACTCCCTATTTTTTTCATTAACAATAATCATCTACTAAATAAGTGAGAATTGAAGTTACTATTTTTTTCGAATAAGGATTTCTGCAAATTAATCCTACGACTACTTATTTATTAAACACTAACACCATTACTAACACTCGAATATTTAATACCCCTAATTGGATTAACAGCTTAAAACACAAATCGAGTACTTTTATTTTTACTCGGCTTTTAAGGTATCTTAATATTTTCAAAATTATGTCCTTCTGCGTGCAGTTAACGCCCAATACAGAGGTATTATGTTTCCGAACGGGGTTGGAAAAGCCCATCGTCCTCCACACTTGTCCAATTTGCCTAATGCCGAATTTGAAACGTCTCTTTGCAGGGACACGGTCGAAGGCTAAAGGTCATATAAACCCTTTTCGCAATTAGCATGACTAATGGTAATGAAATTTTCGTTTAATTTTGACACTCCGAGACGATTAGGGCTATCGAAAACCGAAAATACTTGTGGGATTAATTAATAACCCAGCTAATATAGAGGAACACTGCCTTTGATGCGGTTAGCTTGATTTGTTTAATTTAACTACTTATTGCCTATGAATCGTTAGGGGATTTAATTAAAAACTTTGCATAAACTTCACCTAAAACTTCTAAAAAACTTCATAAATTTTATTATGAATAGATCACATAGAATACATGGGGATAATTTTGAACCCGCCACTGATTTTTGTCGACGCCCTTTGGGGCGAAATCTTGAAAAAAATTGTAGGTATAAAAATTGTCATCATTGTCTGTCTTTGTGCTCTGGTTTCATTCGAATGGTCGGCTTATTAGGGTCGGATCCTGTGACACAAAGTACAGGATGTTTGGAAAGCTTCAGGTAATGGAACTGCCGAACTTTGTGTGCAGACATACGAGTATTTCAGCGCGATTTATTTGCAATTTTTTGCTCGATCTGTTTTTTATTCTCATACGGTTGCATGAATTTTCGAGAGTGGATTTTTGTCGGTTTTTTTCTAGCGCATGTAGGTGCACTAATTTAATTTATATTTCACATTCTTGTTGTATCAATTTAGGTGGAGCCGCGACTGTGTTTGTAGAATGAAAGACATTAAATTAGAGCGTTGTCGGCTTAATGAGCAAATAAAGGGGTGAAAAATTATCTAAACAAATTATTTAAGCCGGTGCAGGAACAAAAGAGGCGAATTTAAAAGGACCGCAAGTACGAAGTTCTATAGTTTAATATTTTTCGCCGTTTAATTTCCGCGTTTTTCAAATATATGACAATGTTTTGTGTGCTTTTGCTAGAAGGGCAGAGTCTGAAACTTTTACGTGTTTTTTTATCACAAAAATAATTATTTTCGTTATAACAAAGAAATTTTGTTAAAATAATAAAAATGTTTTTAATATTTTTAAAACAAATTTAAAAAATCTCAAACGAAACTGTTAATTCCGTAAAATTTTAAGGGTAGGTCAACTCGAATTACGTCTATAAATAAATTTTTGCACTATAAGGATATTATTATGAAATAATCTTGTTTTTCTATATTATTTTATCTTTTATTTTAATTTCTATCTTCAATTTATTTATTATTACTTCAATATTCACTTTGTTGCATAAGTTGCATTGTACAGTTTGTCCTAAATTATATTCTTTTTAAACGAGATATCTTCTATTTTACGGTTTTTAAATTCAAAGGAGAGAATATCCACAAAAAATTCCGAAGTTCATCGATAGCATCGTGGAGGTCACCCTGTATGGTAAAACACTTTTGGTACATCTTAAAAGTTAGGAGATTAAAATAAAAAATGGGCCCATTGTAAAACTCGAGAAATTGACTACATATCTTATGGACGCACTGCATACACACTGCATATAAATAAATTAATCTTAGTTTGAATGTTCCATAAATAGAAAATAAATATTTAGTATATTAACTCGAAAATTAATAGTCATTCTTAGTTCAAATTCTTACGAAAATGGCCTTCGATTTGAAAAAAAAAGTTGCTGTTATTACTGGCGGTGCGTCTGGCATCGGATTGTGCTACGCAAAAGCCCTTTTAACCAATGGAGTTCAGGTAATTTCAGACAAGTTTATATATCCAATCAATTTATTTTTAACATTGATTTATAGGCGGTTACGCTAGCTGATGTAAACCCAGAATACGGCAATAAAGCCATCAGAGAAATCGACAATGAATTCGGTATCAACAGAGCTATTTTCGTCCAATGTGATGTCAGGAACATTGAAGATTTGGAACGTAAGTTATCCACTCACTTTGATAACTCAACTAGTACACAGCTTTATAGAAATGTTTAGTAGTATATAAAACTTTTTATTAATATTTATCTTATTTCAGGAGTATTTTATAAAACGGTAGAAAAATTCAAATTCGTTGACATCCTCATCAACAACGCTGGTATTTTGAACGATGCCATTTGGGAAAATCAAATCGCCATCAATGTTGTAAGTATTTTTATTCACTCTATCTTCATCAGTGCAAATTTTTGACCTTCTCTGGTAATTACTAACACCTACAGAATCTTCCAAAAAATATTAATCAGGCAACTTGCGAGCCTCTTTAGCTCCAATTATTTTTTTTTCTAGAACGGTACCGTCAACGGAATACTCGTGGCCATGGACAAGTTCTTCCCTAAGTACAAGCAAAGCGGCGAAGGAGTCATCGTCAACATCGCTTCGATCACTGGCATCGACTTCCACCCTCACGTTCCCATCTACTCCGGCACGAAGTCGGCTGTAGTGGGATTCACGAAGTCCTGGGGCGTTCGCGAAATATACGACCAGAAGAAAACCAGGTTCGTGGCGGTGGCGCCGGGCGTTACTCTCACCCCGCTGATCTTGGACATCCACGGCAGGAATTTGGGGCCCGTTTACGAGCAGTATTTGCGAGAGAAATTAGATAACGGGATGTATCCTACGCAGGAGTAAGTGGTCGCACGTTCGGGAAATTTAATAATGGATTTGCCTAGAAGAGCTCCTCTTTTGCAGGCCAGAGCACGTGGCGAATGAATTGGTAAAGGTGGTCAAACACGCCGAAAACGGTAGCGTTTGGGTCGTGGAAGGCGGCGAACCGGCCTTCGAATACATCCCGGTCGATCCGCGATTGCAGAGAAAGAAGAACGTTTTGAAAATTAAATGAGTTGAATTAAATTCATTCATTTGATTCCTGAATAAATAGAAAGGTTGTAATTTTTAGGCCACCCCTTGCGAACCTACAATCACATTATTAATTAAACACGTACCTAAACAAACAAAGCGTATTAAAATTTCTCGTTAAAGCCTCGAATAAGTAGATTATAACAGTAAAGCAAAAACCTGACGAGAAGCATCGCCGAACGACCAATTTGTTGAGCTAGTAAAAGGTAATGTTTTCGAAATCCGATACGTCCAGTTAATTATCGCCTGCATTTCGATTCTGTGATTTCGTTTTCATGTATTGTTCTCCTGATTTTATCGACGGACATAACTCACGACCTTTAATTTCCCATAGTCGTAATCCAAGTCGACGCCGACCGCACGATATCGTCAATTGTTAATGGAATCGAGTCGAAATGACACGTCTACCGCAAACTTCTAGATCCCCAAGATACGAACTTCGTATCATTTTTTTACGAAATTTGATTCACTACATTTCGTTCTCGCCTCGTATAACAATAGAGGGGCTCATCCGCGTCCGACTGCGATAAATATCAATTCTTTCACGGGGCTGAATGGGATGAATTCCGTAAGAACAGAAACACTAAACATTAGGGATTACCTGACGATAAGTATGAATATATATCAGCATTAAACGGATTAGAGGCCCCCTAGTTACAGTTGTGTTGATTTATTAATTGGGAAAAAGGCACTGTCAGGGAACGGGGAATAACAACCCAGGCCATCCCGGTAGGAAGCAAATTACATGCCATTACAGTGTAATGCTGCGATATTAACTTGTTTAAGGGTAATAGTGGTAAATTCGTTACCGTGGGCTATGCAGTAGGCATGTACAGGGGAAACGTGAAATGTATCTTCTCATCAACATTTTTTTTTTACAATATCATTGCAAATTTTTTTTATTAATTCGGTTCAATTCACTTAAATGCCCCATTTCTATAGGTAACAAGTAAATTCATCAATAAGATGCAATTAATCTGAATATTTATATTTTTTGTACTATTAAACAATTTAGAAATTCAGTAATATTCATTCTAAAAGTTTTAATTACTCTAGTCTAGTCTATGTAGATCGACTTCAAGAAGCTATCCCAGAAGTGACTAAAGTTAATAATACCGGCTTTAGAGGCGATTGTAGGAAATAAATTCAAAACCTCCGAAATAAAAATATTAACGGAATTAAAACGGGTTTAAACCCGCTAATCTTGTTAGGAGATATTTCCATTTTTATTGTCTTTTTAATGGAAACGAATATAAGCGGTAAATGAAAAACATTAAAAAAAATGAGCCGACGAATAATGGCGGAATTATGCGCACTCATCATGTTTTTTTTTTATTTATTCATAGCCGAAACCAAAACAATTTTAATCATAGTCGCGATGCTCCAATATTTATTTTACTCTTTTATGATTGCGCTGTGGTCCGTATCTCGAAAAGCCCAATGCCCAAAGTCGGTTCCCAAATGCATCCAGAGATATTAATTTTCTACCCGTGCCACGTTGCCAAGCAAAAGAACCGAAAATTTCCATGCAATATTATACTCTTTAATAGCAAAATGAATGATAAAAATGTAGCCTTTTTAATCTAAAAATTCCAAATATCCTCTATGTGTGTTCTGAATATTATCGCATATCTTGAGATTATTGAATTTTTGATAGAGCTGACAACACCGCCCCAATTCGGATTTCTACACTGAGAAACTGGATACCCCGATGCAAGGTAAGGGCGTGCGTGATTTATTTAAACGCAAACATGATTAACGATGCCCGGTAGAGGGCAATCAACGGCTGTTGGTACGGAAAATTAATTTACCCGACGAAAAAACAAGACTGCATTAAAATTAACACCGGAATGAACATGTTCCCTTCGAGGTTTCTTATCTCGCGAGAAAACTCCATTTATTAAAAACGAGACTGCCGCGGAGGTTATTTGACTAAAGTCGGATAATTAATCTTTTAGCGACCGATCATCGCTCACTAATTCGAAACTTTAAAACGTTATCCATACGGTTAGGGAACACTCGAATCGGAGATGCCTTCATTTAAAAAGAAATCAATCATGAAATGTCCTGATTTTACTATAAAAATCGCAACAAACAGTTCCATTCGATGAATAATGCTCTATCGAGGAGAAAAACCAGCGGTAGGTAACATTTCCACGGCCGTTTAATTTTAAAACCGCGATGGAACAAAAGAAAATACCGTCCCTTCGGATTCGAAAGTGGAATTACTACCATCGCTGCGTCTCCAATTATTTAAAAGTCCCCGATTCGCTTTCTCATTAGGCAAATTAGAGAAAATTCGGTTTGATCCAATCGGAATTAAGACACCACGACGGAGCTTTTTCCATCTTTCCCCGACGAATCGATAGTTACGTTTTCATCAATATTCATTATCGACTTGCCTCGGTAGATATGCAGGTACTGCAAAAGATAATAGTAGGTGTGCTAATTTTATTTTAGTGTTGAACAATCCTTCAGCCATCCACTAGCTTCCTCCACTTGCAAATAAATTTGTATTGAACTACCATCTTAATGGATAGGTACCCAAGTATTTTGTATTTAACCCAGAAAACAGTATAGTAGGTACTATTTACCGATCATTTCCGAATTGATTGGTAATAAAAAATCTTCATCGGGTCCATGGACTAATTGAGGATCGAGCGGAAATTCGAACGGGCGGGCGAATTTCTTCGTGCAATTTCTCGCCACTTCGACAAATTGGAGGAGTAAAACGGCAATTGGAGATTTCGTATAATGGTTTCTCGGGCCAGAATTCACATTTCTCCAATATAATCCTCGGCAGTTCGGCGAAAGTCGTTCGTAAAATTGCAGATTGGAATATTGGAAATTGAATGTAGCGAATTAATTAACAGCAATTAGACATAGACGCTAATTGATAGACGATAAGAGTCTGCTTCCTAATTGAATTCCTATTTTCTAATTGCTCGCCTAGCAAACTTCTTGCACTTTCTAAAATTAAAATGGACCGTTTTTCATTACTATTCCGAACAAAAGTGTTGAGATAAAAAAAGGCTATTAATTCATTTATTACAGAACACGAAATTCTGTAGTCACCCTGTATTTCTTTGTTGATTTTGAAAGATGCCGCTTATGGAACGAAGGCTGTTTTTAACAAAATTGCATAAAATAGTTATTAGCCAATATTTACGATCTGGTAGTGGTTAGATTCAATGCAGGAATTTTCAATTTCAGTTGGAAGAAGCGCTCGATGATTTTTTTTCGCATATTTAAATATCTATATGCATGAAGATTAGGAAAAAAACGACGGTTTTCAATTTGCCCGGTTGACATGTTTATTGATGGAATTACTGTCCGGGAATACGTAAACAAAAAAATGCGTTGAATTAATTATGATTGCCAAAGGCGCCCGTTTCTCTAACGAACCATAAAAATCAGTTTCGATCATGAATATATTTACAATTTAATTGATACCAGTTTATAATTAATTATCGTCCGTGCATTAATTGATCGGCAATAATCTTGCGTTAATAAAAATGGCCACCGTGTAATTACGAGCAGGTTTATGTATAGGCTTATCTAATGAAATTCTAGAATTTACTGTAATTAATCATTGATTTGGAGAATTTAATTACATTGTTATTAACATTACTATGGTTTACTTACTAACAAGGATTCAAAAATATTTTATGACCATATAATAAATGACTGATTGAATTTAATGACATCAAGTAGGTTGTAGAGACAATTTATATACAGGATGGTGAAATGTCGATGTTTTAACAAGGAATATGGGTAACTAGGTATGGTATATATGGAAAAATAAACCACTAAGTTTTTTAGATAAAAACTTAATGCTTCTCTGTACTTGATACTAAGCTACAGATGCATTTAAATGCAAATGTTTCTAATTAAATTGTTTCACACTGTAACTGGCTCGTCGGGTCGATTCGCCGCCGCGTAAATAAGTAACAAATGTGCACAAAAAGTGCGAAACATCCATCTCACGGGTGGTACTAAACCTTAATTTCGGTTCAGTTGTATAAAATAGACGGCGCTTAAAGAAAGTTTTGTATTTTTATTGTTGTCGGTGTAAACAAGGGTGGTCTCATTGCCAGCGGTTTGGACAGTTTGACCGATTGTTTGCGAACAGCACAAACAAAAAACGCTTGAGAATTTTAAAAGAATTTGTACCCGACAATTATTCGTTCTATTATACAAACGCCGTCTCGGTTTGACTAATAGATGTCTGAATGTGTGGATAATGCGTTTTACCGAGAAAATTAATTTTATTTACTTAGTATAAATACTATAAAAATATATAAATTATTACTATAAAAAGTTTTGTATGGCTATCGTACATAGGGTAAATTTTATATTTTTTTTAGGGTTGCGATTGTTCGTTAGAACTCTGCGCAATAAAATAACAAAATTTCATTACCTATCCGAAAGCCAATCAACAAGTTTATTCAGCAGCGGCGAATCGGATCATTTATAATTATCCCCGAGTTAGTTACCGTTGTCAAACATGGTAATTTTATTTGTATTTGTGTTGTAAAAAGTTGGCGTCTCGCCGGAGCGGGGGGGCCATTCGTTAAAAATCATCACGGTTATTTGCTTAGGCGCCCACAGCCCCGACCCAAATTCTAATAAACCCCATTCCGCCATGTTTGCTCTCCCTTCTCCCCTTTTGGAAACTAAATAGAAGTCCGTTTTCCTTTCCACTAATTTTCTAACCACACAGTGTACACCAGGAATTCTGTTAATTGCTTTTCGGTGCAAATTGTTTAAGCACTGTTAAAACTTTACCGTTCCTGGATGTATTTCGAAAGTAATGAAACTCGATTTCTATTGTTTGAGCGAGCAAACTCGAAAACATTTTGCTTTTAGAATAATTATCATGGGGGTCGGAATAATATTTGCCCTTTTTGTTGTGTACGTACCTGCTGCTAGCTTTAACGCACAATGGGGCGATTTTTTGACTCTGTACAAGAAAAAACTAACCATTCGAATGTAATAAGTGCTGCATAAATCAAAATTAAATATTTAAAAGCACTTAGGAGGTAAAATGGTGCATT